CACACACACACACACACACACACACACACACACACACACACACTTTCCCCTCACCTCTGTTTGGGTCTCAGTGTACTCCTTGATCCTCTCTACAGCCACAATGTTGGTCTCCAGCTCACAGGTCATGCGCACCATCCAGTTTAACGTTTGAGTCACCTGGGGAGAATACATACACAGCCAAACTTATCTTCTTTTTTTCTACATGGCATAGTAGACAGAAATCCAAATCCAAGTCATACAATACAGTCATTACACTTAGGTAAGAATATTTGCATACGTTGTTCTCATTACAATTAGGGTTGAATCTTTTTTAAAGACATTCTCATTAGAATTTGGTGGAAAAAACTGCTTCCAAGATTCTCATTGCAATTACATTTGTATCACTGTTTATGACAATCTATTGCAACTAAGTTTGACTTCAAGTTTTTTTCCGACACTGCAATCATTACTTACATAAAGGATGAAATCAGTGGTGTTTTGTTTGACGAGTCATTACGACTTGACAAGGACAAGCGTTTTACTTTATTACCATTACAATAAGAACAGTATAACTTTAGGAACAGAGTGACCAATCCATGAAATGAGTAGACCTTATTAAAAGGATACATTAATCACACAAAATTATTTTTAAAATTGAACTAATTTATAAGAACACTTCCTCCCTGCTCCATGTAATGTTGAATCAGATTTCTGACAAGACCATTACTCCTTCCTTCTGCCCTTTTTTTTATTTCTGTTTTCCACATTCCTTTTTTTTTTTTTTTTTTTTTTTTGGTTTTTGTTGTTGTTGCTTAACTGGGATGCAAGACTGTCTTTTAGTTCCTTTTGTTTTCAGTAAAGCGAAGCACACTCACTGGTCAATTAGGGCAGGGTAAAAGCAAGACACACACAAACAACAGATTGATTAACTTAAAGAAATCAGAACTCTTGCACTGACTGACTCTTTAAAGATATTTATCTTCATAGTTTCAGGGGGAAATGTAAAATCAAAACATAACACAGACTACTGAGTAATGAAAGAGAGGGCCTGTCTCATGAGAGTTTAGTAAGGGTAGACAGCATAGTATATAAAATTGCTCTCACATTCATAGCATAGGTGATGGAAAGCCCCACAATGCCAGGGCTCAGGTGGTCACGGCCAATGACAGCAAACAATGAGGCAAAGAAAATGATAAAGTTTCCCACAAACTCCAAACGGATAGCCAGCCACCTGGAACAGAACATTAACAGATACACATTTACAGGCTCTCAGTGGGAAAGGGTTAGGAGACAATAAATCAATGTTGTAAAAAAGGAAATTTCTTTTCCGATTTTTGGTTTTTACAGGAATACATATTTCTGTGCTACATGAAAACAAAATATTTAAATTATACCTAGGTTCAAACAAAATAGTAAAACAAATAAAAATACATTATAAAGCAAGACAAGAAAATCCAAAAATATCAGACCACACTACACTAGAGTTACCTTCGAGTGAGCATGAGCGAGGCTGAGATGACAATGAAGTCAAGCAATGTCAACCATGAAGCACTTTGAAAAGTAGTCACTGGGGTGTGTCCATGAACAAGACACCCCTGTGACTCTGAGATAAGCTAACCCTAGCTAGGAATTACATGGTGCTATCTGTGGTAACCAATAATCACTGTCTATAGCGAGATATGATGTATTATGTGTTGCTGATGTAATCTTTAAATTAATTAATGTGAGCACTGTTTCACCGATGATTCCCAAATTATCCTATGCGGATCAATGAAAGTGGTATTTTTCATTTTATTTCTTTTTCCACATTCCAGAAAGTTTACAACAAACAAGAAACAAACCAAACAGAAACCTCCGACACTTCTACCGCACAAGAAATAGTGCCTCTATTGCTAGGAAAATTAGCAACTCCTACGTTTTTTAAAATCAGGCTGTAAAGCACGGTCGAATGAAGTTGCCCACTTTTTTGTGTTGGCAACCATATTATTTTGAGAAAAAGACTTTATTAGAGCACAGATGGCCCGACTTCGATGCAATGCACACGTAAAATCAAGCAGAGGCATGCCAGCAGAAAATGGAAATCCCTTGAGAGCAAAAAAACACTGGAACATATATCTATGCTAAGATATACAATACATATGACTTGCACATCTATCTATCATCTTTCCTTTTTTTCCTTCATTCTTCCTTTTTCTTTCCTCTGACTTCCTCTTTTTTTGTCGTCTAACTTCCTTTATCTGTCCTCTAATCACTACAGCAGTTGCTTGGGCTTCATGCCAACCTCTCTGGGTCTAGTAGTGAGTAATTCCCAAAACAAACAAAAATAATCAAATAAAAAATTAGCTTTTTTCAAAGGCTGTACGGACCTGTTGGACACAATGCTGGGGAAGTAAGAGATCTGGTTGAGGTCCACCTTGTCCTGTGACTCCTTAATGAAGAGTGCCTCCTGACCAAATGCACGGATTGTCATGGCCCCAGTGATGGTCTCACCAAAATGAGAGTAGATGGGAGAGCGACTCACAGACTCCAGCCTCTTCAACTGTCTCGAGGACGCCACGTAGAATCTCTGAGCACAGCAGAGGAGAGCATTGGATGAAATTATGTGTGGAATACATATTTTAAAAATTAAACACACAGACTTTATAACTTTGTTCTAACAGGTATTAACTGGCACACTTCAGTTGTGATTCAACTTAAAGATGACACACTAAAGCATTTAAAAATTCATTATTTGCTTACTTTAACTATGGTCTCCATTGATGGTACGAAAGAGAGATATATGTCTTACACGTCTGGACAGGTTTTGACATGAATTATTCAAATTTAACCCTACATAAAAACCATCCAGAATATTTATCAAATAGTAGACTGAACCATTTCTATTCAACTTTCGATTGTACAGAAACATATGTCATCATTTCTTATTTTCTTTAAACAAAAAGACAATGGTTTTAAGATTCATTAATGAATGAACAAAGACAAATTTAACATTTGGGTACATTATAAACAAATATTATACGACTGCTACCCATAACTTGCGTCACTTAGTGAGAAAATATATTATTTAAGTTCATTCAGACTTGTTAAGATGCAACTGCTACCCACAACTTATGTATTAAAGAGATGGGAACTATCAAACAGCTAGCAGCAAGTATAATTTATAATGCACAGATTTCTTTACGTTATGAAGAAGATAACCAGTATAAAAATATAATTGAAGATATTTCTTAACATAAACCCAAAGTCCAAAAAAGAGTGTTAAAAAGTATATATGTGTATAGCATAACCCAAAACAAAGACAAAAGCATACTCGTATATCAGTGGTTACAAGCCAATGCAAATAAAGAAAGCTGAAGTAAGCACATGCAGTTAATTGGAAAAGACGTTATTCTGCGTGGAAAACAAAACACAACAAGGATTGATATCGGGAGGAAAAAAATTGTTTCCAGACATGGCACTCAGCAAACGGTCTTTATAAAATGACTCTTTAAATAAACTAGGCACAGCTCTAAAGATTACTTCAAACGATTTTTTAAAATATATATATTTTTATACCAGTCAAGCATAACTATAGCAAAAAATTGAAAGTAAAAATTCTATGATCGACATTAACTTCAATCAAAAAGTGTGTGTACACATAACAAAATGCTTTGCAGACACTATATGGAGATATTTATTCCAAATTAACTCATTAACATAACTTCATGTCATAGTAAAAAGTAGGAGAAAGACTGTAGTAGATGGGAAGACAACAATACCCTGTACAAAGAAGTACACTTATCAGGGAATGTTTCTAGGAATGGAACAGAAATCTAGAAGAAAAAAAAATTTAAATTATCCTAGAAGATTATTTTAAAAAGTAAATATAGACGTCAAAGCATTCAGGGGTATATGTTCTGAATGCTATCTAGTGTTCATGGGTGAAGTTTCTAAACGTCCAAATAGTCATGGGTAGTTCAGTATGTAATATAACATTCGCAGATTCACGTTCGGAATGTCCAAATAGTCACAGGTATAAATGTCAGAATGTCACTGGTACATGTTCTAAATGTCAGTCTACTTCTCAAGTGACCAGAGACACAAAGAGCAAGAACTATAGTGAATATTTCAAAAACAGACAAATTCGCAAGTTCCAAAGCCACCTGTCCCATATTACTAAACCTTTGAAAAAAAAGATGTCTTAATCCAAACATTTAAAAATGCTGGAAATGAAAAGAACTACTTTGTAAAATATTAAAATTTTATTCCAAGTATGAACATAAAAACACTCAAATTTGTTGGGGGGGGGGGGGGGGGGGTTCTGAGAGTTGTGGGGGAGCATATTGACACGATTAGTCACTTAGAGTTGAGAAAAATCAAGACAGACAGAAACAAAACAGGGGGACAGAAACGAGGCAGGACTTACAAGCTAGGTCCTCCAATCAACTGCTGACACAATGTGAACACAAAGTTTTCCAATTCAAATATACTTTTACACGGGGCACTCGAGACTACAGGGCCACTCGAGGCTGCTACAGGCAAACCTACCAAGGTCAGCAGCATAGACATATATGGAACAATGTGTATGGATGTGCCTGTGTTAGAAACAATTGTAAGGAAAATTGAACAAAGAAGGGGCATGTCACCTATGTATTTAGGTCTGTCTCTTTTCTAATGTCCTATCTTTTAAATGCTGAAGAAAAACTTCAATAGCCTTCCTACCAGCTGTGCTTAAAGCATTGTAAACTGAGGCATTTAAAAAAGATCAATTAAAAGAGAATTTGCATCACACAGAAAAAGAAAAAAAAATTAAATACTTTGTGGAAAGTTTCTGTGAAAATTACATGGTGGATATGAATATGATAAATACCAGTGAACATAGTCAGAACAGAAGCGTTACTGACAGAAAAAACCATTTACTTCTGTTTTTATCTACGTGCATTCAGACCACAACTTTTACAACTTCTTTTTTACATAAATAACCAGCACCACTTTTTAACTCTGGAGACAGTTTTCATAATATATACTATCAATTCAGAGCTGCAGTCAAAAGTTATTGTTTTACCACCAAACAGTCATTTCTTCCTCTCATATTATCTGCGATAGGTTAGAAGTAAAGGGTCAAGGAGAGGATTTGGTTCGAGCAGAAGATATGCATCCACAGAACCATGGCCATAGTGTGGCTCTCAGAGAGTAAGAAGAGAGATGAAAGACAGAAGCAATCCAGAGATCAGGAAGCAAAAAAGCAAGATAAAAGAGAGAAAGGGAGAGGGATATGGAATAAGTCACACCTACCAGTGGAATGTCCAATGACCTGTGAGGAAACAACCCAGAGGAAAAGTTCTCTTCTGTTTATTAATAGCACTAGAGCCAAACATGTTCTAAAGCCTAACCAGTTTTCATTAAGTTCCCTTCGACATGAGATTCGGGTCCATGAGATGGCTTTCACCTTTATTAACCTATCCAGTTGAGCTTTGAACAGAATAATCAAACAATAGCGGTCAAATTATAAAAGAAAAAGCAGAAAGAATGTTACTGAAAATAGTTGATCGTTACTGAAAATTGTTGATAAGTAACAATTCCTACTTCAATAGTATGGTGCTACATCAGTATGGTTAAAAGTTGGAAAGTTTAAAAGTAGGGTGATTTGAGTGAAACACAATAACAGTGAGATGTGAACACATTCAACCTTATCTAAAACAAATAAACAAAGTTATAGTCTTACTACAATAGAAAACAAAACACAAATCATAATGGCAAACAAACGACTAAACAAATACCTTGATTGTCATGTCAAGACCCCCAACCTCGACATAATATATTATGTTATTATTTTATATGTAGGGACAGGAGATCTTGGACATGACAGCCACTACATTGACTCAGAAATGCTTCTTTTTTTTTTTTTAAAGGAGGACACATTAATAGATGTTATGGGAATAAACAACTATTTTTTAAAAAGAGTGGTCACAACTTGCCACAAACTGACACAGACGAAAAAAAGTGACTACAAAGAGAGAAAAAGACAAAGAAAGACAAAGCTCTCTATGTTTTCGTTACAAGCAGTAGTGAAGGAGGTGTGACAATTTTTGCGTAGAAGAAACAGAAGACATTTTTTTCCTTCTTTTCCCTAGACAGAGTTTCCAGAAATAAATCATTCTGACCACAAATGTGACAGACTGGTGTAACCATAAAACATTCACACACATCACACAAACTAACACAGATGGAGCTGCGAGGCCTGTACCTGCACTATGAAATACAAGACACCCATGGGGAGGACGATCACCAAGAAGAGAGGGGTGGACATGGAGATGACCAGCAGAGTGGACAACACAGCCAGGAGACAGTGCAGGCAGATGAACAGCACATTGGGGATGACCAGGTCCAACACATCCACGTCATTGCTGAACCGGTTCAGCACACGGCCCAGGGGCGTGCTGTCAAAGAAGCTCATTGGCAGATGCACCACAGCCGAACTGAGAGCCGCATGGAGCATGGTGGAGGCCACGACGCCACCGTACCCTTTCAACACATTGGAGGCCAGGACAAGACATCCTGATGGTGGCATAAAGGGGGAAAAATACAGGGTGGGGGGCAGGCTAGGAGTACTTTTGTCAGGTTTTAGAATCAATAACAGCCCGTGAGGCTTCAGAGGTCACATTTCTCAACTGGAAATTGCAACCATCACTTAGAAGTCAAAACAAGCTGATATGTTAGTAAATCTGTCAAATGAATGGGAAATGAATGTTGGAGGAGATACAGAGAATCTGACATGTAATCAGGAAGAGAACTTAAATAGTCTATTGTTTTTTCTGCGCAAAGTTGAGAGAAGTAAAAGCACAACTAGAGCCATACAGTAGTTTATTGCTACTGTTGGTTTTAAGTTTTGTTTAATCCTGTTGTTTAACGGTTTCGTTTCGGGTTTTCTGCTTGTTTTTTTTTCCTAGGCTTTTTCTTCGCGGGAGCTGGTGTGTGTGTGTGTGTGTGTCTGTGTGTGTGTTTGTGTGTGTGTATGTGTGTGTGTGTGTGTGCATGTGCGCATGTGTGTGTGTTGTTGTTGTTGTTGTTGGTGGTGGTGGTGGTGGTATTTTAATTTTACATGTGTTACACGTAGTTCCTCACATCTTAAGTTTCACTTTTTTTTTTTTTTTTACAAATGCATAAAATCTTTGCGCCCAAATAAGAGCAAACATTTATTGAGATAAGGACTAGTAATTTCTTTGAATACTCTTCTAGCCAAATATTGGTCATGTTGATGACATCTTTATTGCTGACTTTTTTAATGTAAAGAAAACATCTGCAGCAAATGCTGAAATCACAACAATGCTCAAAAAAAGATGATTCATCCTAGCTTTGTTGGCTTTCCACGTAGCTCAGCCTGAAGAAAGCTCACAAAGCCACAACCTGATTAATACATCAGCGTAATAAAAACACAAACATACAGCTCATTCCTGTGTCAGCATGTAGTTCTCTTAACAATCCATTTCTGCCGTAAGATCTGGAAAAAAAGAACTAACTGATACGCATTGTTTTAAAAACCAAAGTGGACAAGAATAAGAAAGAATTCTGAAATGAGCTGGGAAATCAAATTTAGGCATAACATGCATAAATATGTTTTTTTTAAAACAAAAAAACAAAAAAAACATGCACCGCAATATAAGCCAATAATCTGCAATCGCAAAAATATAATCATGCATAACCAACAGAACAATGTTAGATCAATTAGTACCAGCAAATAGACAAAAGATGTAAACACAGATGATGGGAAAACACAGTCGCCCATAAAAACAAAATCTGTCACCCTAAAAGGTCAATGAAAAAGCTGAACCTTGAGAAGAATTGTAATTTTTAACACATTTCCAGGGTACAGCAAACAACATAACTGAAAGTCAGCAAATAAGGAGGACAGGCCAAGCCGATACTACTACACAAAACAGCTCTGATTGACAGAAAACTGCTGAAAAATGTCTACAGAACTGTTTAAAAGAAAACAACAAGCAAAGATTCTTGTTCCAGTAAACAGAAGCATATTGAAACTGATTCACTTCATGCAGGGACCAAGACAACTAAACAGACAGAAACAACAAACACAAAGAAAAAGAGTAGAACCTACCAGTGATGCCCTCCAACCAATCCCACATGTGAGACGCTATAGCCATATTTTAAACAAAGCAAAGAAAGCCTGCCAACTACATCAAGAGCTCCAACCTGAGCAGATCGCAATAATCAGACTTTACTGTGTACTAACTAGAAGTAGAAGCTTCAAAAAGAAGAGACAATAAACTAGTACCATCTTACCATGTGCTTTATAACTACAGGCTGTGATGCTCAAGACTACAAAATTGCTCTGTCTGCCAACGCCAATGCTACAGTGCAGTAAACTTAAGCAACAAAATAGTGAAGTCTGTGATTAAAACATGTACAATAATGGGCTGCTACTAGGCATTTTTGGCACACTTGCAGATCTGCACACAACTAGACTCACAAAACCCTCTGACACACCCATGAACAGTTAAGTAAGACTCTCTAGGTGAATGTTTCTACAACGGTTAAGCATGCACACCACACAGCTATCTACAACACTGTCATGGTGACAACAGCCATTCGCTTTTTGTGCATGCTGCCTCTAATGACTCCAACCAAAAAAATAACGTATCAGAAAGGGTGTTTCACCATATCCAAAAAAAAAACTCCAACAGGCAAAGAAACAAAAAGATTACACCTCACAAGCACATTCAAATGCAAATAATTACTTTGAAAATAAACTGGGTATCACCATCCCCAAAACTTTACGAAAGAATACAAACACTAAATGCTTAAAGTAAAATATGTTATAAAAACCAAAGACCAAAGTGAATGTCTGGTACAGAACGACCAAGACAGAAAGGAGGGGAGTGGGTGGTGGGTACCTGGACAAAATAGTAGAAGACCATCAGTGGAACTATGACGGCCAGAAACAGCGGTGTGGAGAAGGAGATGACCAGGATGGTGGACAAGGTGTTGAAGAAACACATAAGGAACATCCCAAAGATCATGGGGATGATCACATCCAGTGTGTCTACATCCTTGCTGAAGCGATTGACGATGCGGCCAGTGGGCGTGGTGTCAAAGAAGCTCATGGGGCTGGCCAGCACATTTAGCAGCAGACCCAGGTGGAGCATCCCCGTGGCCTTGACTGCCCCCAGCATGCGCATCAGCGCTGTGATGTACACCATTATACCTAGAGAAACAGGCGGGGGGGAGAAACATGAAAAGCCAAGACAATCAGTTTTTTGGAGACTTTTTTGGGGGGTACCTGATTCCGTTTACAACTCCGCAGTGAACGACTGGTTCCAATCCCGAGTTCTTTTTTTTTTTTTCTCTTCAAAAGTCAGCAGTCATCCCTACAGCAATACACACGTTATAATGTGATCAGACCTGTGCAAATTTTGGAGCCTAACATTGTATAGACTCATTTTAGGACTTGATTAGTCAAAAGATGAAAAATAAAAAGAGAGACAGGATGAGGAGCAAGATGAAAAGAAGAGAGAGAGGGGGGGAGAAAGGGGAGAGGTGGGGAGAAGGAAAGGAGGAAGACGAGAGAATAAAAGACAGAAAGAGTAGCAGGACATATTTAATTCTCTTTTTGATACTGAGCACGCTTTCCCAAATTCTAAAGCAGAGATTCAAATTTGTAACAGTCACACTATTCTTCTCAATCAGTCAAGTAAAAGTCACTTTCAAAAACATCTGTGACTATAATAATATCTGAAAAAAATTGTTTCAGAAAACAGAAGTTTCCTCACAACTAGACCTGGGCAAGAAAAAAATTAATGTTTCAAACAAGACTTATAACAAACATGCAAGAAGAAAACCACAATATCATACAATAGCTAAAACTTAAAACTGTGCATTTCTTCCGTTTCAAGAAATGATGCTTGGTCACTCAGGGCATGCAAACACTGTTGACTCAAGGTGACAAAAGAAATAACCCCCCCCCCAAAAAAAAAAGTGAGGAAAAATATGCCCAAAGATGACAAACAAAGGAAGGTGCAGGAGATGTAATTAAAGCTGCTAATGGAAACGTGAGGAAAATAAGATTAATAATACAGTCTAGTCACAAGACATATGTCATAACCACTCCTAAAAAAATACTTATTTACAGAGCATACCTTTAAGACTTTAAAAAAGTAAAACTTCAGATGTATATTATAGGGTAGCTTAATTGAGAATTCAAAAGACAAACAAGGCAGTCTGGTAATGGTGAAAAAGGTTTCCAATGACTGTCAGCCTTTTGCAGCCAAAGACAAGTCTTAGTGTCTTCATTGGAGAAAAGGATAAGTAACAGAAATTGGACATCATCATAATAAATATTTGGATATACAGAACATTTAAGCATATATTTTTGCTGCACAAAACTGTTGTTGGGTAGCAATTAGCATGACGAAAAAAAGGTACGGTGGGGTGGAGACGGAGGGAATGGGAAAGGGGGAGAGGAGGGGGGGGGAGATGAAGGGATTTGGGGGGGGAGTGAATTTGTGATACGGAATATAGGACTAGCAGGTAGTAGTATTTAGCTTTTTTCATATTAATAAGACACTGAAATTAGAGCTATGAAAAGAACTTGAACTCTCCGAATTTGTAATTAGTCAACCCATAAATTTGAATACTTATGTGAGTAGCAGTAGCACTAATCAGAATACAAACAGAGAGAACTGGACTTCCCAAGTACTTTCTAATATTTGGCAAAAATGTACACCTTGAATAGTGAAACATCTTATATTCCTGACTGGGTGGGTAGCAGTTGCATAATGTGTTGGTATGCAAACAGGTACTAGAAATGGCAAATTTCTCCCTACAAGGTGATGAAGTCTCTCAGGTTTGCAAAAGCACTGGCTAGTACCTGAACAGCAGCATAGGCAGGTGCTACTAGCACTATCCCCAGTGCTGCCCATGGGGTGGCTGTGACAATGACCGCCACAGTACCCACAGCCGACAGGATGACCATCAGCATGGAGCGCACGCTGAAATGCACCACATAGTCAAGCTCAGCCATGTCCTCGGAACAGCGGTTAAGAATGGTGCCCAGCGTCCGCTGCTCAAAGAAACTCATCGGGTTTCGGACAAGGTTGGACAGGAAGAGGACAAAGATTTTTCTAGAAGCCACAATACCCCCAACGGCCGTGATGAGGGCACACACCATGACCAGTACACCTGTGTAGAGTTGAGGCGGGGGAAGTCAGGAAATGCACATAAGGACAAACCATTTCTTAGAGGATTGTTGTTGGGCTGGGTTATAGGGGAATTCATACAAACACAATAAACACACTCATGATTATGCACATGCACAGAGGTGCGAAATTTAGTGATGATACAATTTTAAAAATGGAGAAAAGAGAAAAACAAAAACACAACAACAACATCAAAAACTTGTGAGAGCAGAGTACATCCTGAAAGTCAAAACAATATTAGCAATTGCACATTATTAACTCTATACTGCAACATCCGTTTGCCACATCGGCCTGCTACAGAATAAAACACAACTATAAAGCGCAACCACAATGAACCTTTGTTTACCAAAGTAACTTGTAAGTAATGTTAACAAGATGGGCACAGTTAAAAGACTGCAGTGTTAGTAGTCGCAGATGCAGGTAACTTGCAGCAAAGCAAAATAACACAAGCACGCAGAAAAGAGGCCTGAGTAGACTATTAGATTTAAGACAGAAAGGGGAGCAAGAGAGGTTCTTCAAGCATGAGTGTCCAAACCTGCACGAATACGTAGAAAATAGTAAGAGGGACCAACGTGACCAGGAACCAGGGTGTGCCCATCCCAATGAGCACCGGAATGGCCGATGTGAGCATGACAGCGTGCAGCCAGTAATGCAAGACTGGCGCCATAAGAGACTCTATGACTAACACATCCAGGTTGAAACGGTTGAGCAGCCTGCCCTGGGGTGTACTGTCAAAGAGGCTCATGGGTGAACAGACCACCGTGTGCAGCATGCCCTCGTGGAGGAGAGCGGCCGCGCCAATGTTGCCCAAGTACAGGGCCCACGCACCCAGCCATACAGCTAGCCCTGCGTGCATCACAACAGGTTCAAAACAGTTGAACAGCTCAAAACAGTTGAACAGCTCATGGACAACTCACAACAGTATAAACTTAAGAGATCACATGACACAAGCTGATCTTTTCGAATCAGAACAATTTGGATCATATCTAAGCAAAGCAACTCCTTTAAGCTGTAGCCAAAATGAAATAAATCAAGAAAAACAAAAAAGTCAACTTTTCTTTATCTCCAAAACAGTTATGGTTTATGAGCTACAGCACATTACTAGCACCTGAACTATCCATTGAGAAGACACAACAGAAGAGCAGAATCTAATCTTCATCTGTTTCACAAATGGCAGACTTCAACATGTCAAGCTAAAACTGTGTGTACACAAGATTCAAACCCAGGTCAAATGCACACCAGTTCTGTGCAATACCCACTGACCTAACAAAATACTTTAAAGAGCACAAAGCAACAATTCACATACAAAGACTCGAGAACGAGGAAGAAGAAAAGAAACATACAAAGACAACCTTAACGTAGTAACTGTTTCTTCTTCACTCAGGAGCACTTTTCTGCTATTGCTGGTACTTAGTGGCTTAAAAAAAAAACATTTACAGTGCAACGTTTTCTAAATTATTCAAGAAATTTTTATTCAAACTTTGCTTGCTGTCACTTGAACCAGGAGGCCAATATGGCATAAAATTTTAAAAATATTGGCATGCAATTTTAGAAATAAGAGGGCTGTCCCAGACTTAGCAAGAAAATGCTTCTAAAATGAAGCGTGTTTTTATAATTGAGATACAACTCACACAGTTGGCTAAACATTTCTTGTACTTCCATGAACAGTCAAGCATTTTTCCCATCACCACATGAGTAAGTACAAGTTTTTCCTTTAGAACTTTGCTACAAGCGACCGAAGTCAATCTCTGACGTGCTCCACAAGCTTTATGGCATAAGAGAATTTCTTCCTCGCTAAATATCACTTCATTGGTCTGTAAAGATGGAAGTGTGAAGGAGCAAGAGACAAGATGAGGACTGTGAAGTGAATGGAGTAAAATCCTCCCAACCACAATTTTATAGCCATTCTTTGGTAACCTTGGCAGCGTGGGGGGAGGGCATTGTCATGTTGCAAAGTGACATGTTTAGTTGATCCAGCCTTGTTGTTGTTAGAGATCCAGAAAATATGAAACACTTCACAAACAAATTTGCATGTCATCCTTGTGCACGAGTCATGCTAGTCTTCTCTGTAACGTTCCAATTTTAGTGTATGTACTGCATGAATAGAACAACAACGCACTCAGTCAAACGTTCTAGTCTCTTACAATGCACTGCTTCTCATAGCTTATAGGAGATTTCACAGCTATGTGGGATGAACTGTTGACTGAAAAAGATCTAGAACATCCGATATCTCACAAATTTGAGCCTTGTGTCATCATGTTTTAATGTTTCCATGCGAGCAGAATTTTGTCCTTGTTGGCAAATTGAAAGCCTTCATCCGCAATCAGTAACTATCAAAGACGGGCACACCACATGCGAAGCAAGATCTGGAAAGGAAGTTGAGCCCTGATCTGAGGCACATAAACATCCATATTTCATAACAACAGCAGCAACACTTGAAGTAGAAGAAGCTGACAACAATAGAATTCTTCCCATTAACCTCCTCCTCATCTGACCTTGGAAACACTGTAGGTACACTGGTTAGTTAGGTTATTTACACTGCGACCTCACTTACATTCATCCTTATTCACAAACGAGATCCAGAAAGGGTGCATTAATGTGTTAAGCAAAATTGGCTATTTTTTGCATAACACTTTGAGTGCTAAATCAAGCAGAAATAGAAAACAAAGTCTGTGACACAAAACACGACTACAAAATAAATAAATGAAGCGCCATTTAGAAAGAGACACACAAACATTTATGACTGACATCCAAAGCATAAAAGAATCCATTAGTACAAATACATTCATGCAATATACCTCGACTTCATAATTATAGATATAAAAGAAAAAACAGAGATCAACTTTTCTCGAGCATAATTGCAAAAAAAGCCTTAAAAATTGCACACATAAAAAAACCCATTAAAAACAATCAATGTAAATATAAGACATATATTAAAGACACCTTCAACATGCATCTAACATTTCAACCATTTCTCTGAAAACAAACGTAGATAACTATCCAGAATAAAGAGCAAACAAACAGTACACTCTCTCTCCTCCTTTCCCCTCCCCTCCCCTCCCTTCCCATCTTGTTCAAATCAAGAACCAAGAAGTTAGGAGAAAGCCTTGATCAGAGAGGCAAGCAAATTAAAAGAACCACTGGCTTATCAGTTTCCTCCAGTTTCGGATTAGAGCCTTTCAGGCCACGCCTTGAGCTTCAGTGATGAGCTACAGTTAAGTCTAGAAAGAAATACCATTAGTTCATCACTTCACCCCCAATATAGACAGGTATGTGAGGCAATAAGGCCAAATCTCAGAGGCTTTTGTTTATTCTTAGCCAAACCAAAGACTTAAAAGTGATATAAAGTACAAAGAATGCAAGAAACAGAATGATTATACAATACAGAAAGAAATCCATTAAGTTTTAGTAAGAGTTTTACATCACTTGCAACACAATAAGGTCATATAAGAGCAGAAGATAAGAGGTGTTACAAGAGAGTAACAAACACAAAAAAGAAGTAGGTGAGGTCAGGACAATAGAAGCTTAATAGGAAAGAAGGAGTAAACCACACCAGAGCACCCGCCAACCACCAGCTACTAATAAAGGAACCTAAAAATTCTTTTATGACGTTCTTGCTCAACAACAAAGTATGCACTGTTAGAGACTTTTGAGTTAAAATAGTCATATTTACATATGTACACATACACAAAACACAGTCACAGCTGTTGAGAAGAAACATTTTCTATTTTTTTTTAATAAAGATGAAAAAAACTCTGACAAATATCTACACATCCGACTTGATGAGATCATAATATAATACTGGTAATTGAAACAAGAGATTATTATTTACACAGCTTAATGATCATTATGTTGAATTCAAAGTAACAAAGTTCAAGAGACCACAGATGGCTACTCACTCACCACATCATTATAAGACACCATTAAGGAACTGTGACAAAAAGGATTGTACAACTTTAATGTGATCTCAAACCTTCAGGATCATAAAATATCTGATCAAAGAATGAACTATAATCACTGATTTTGTACCGCTTAAATGTTTACTTCAGCACCTGAGACGCAAATCATCAGCTTTATCTATGACTGCTCTCTTCGTTTGTCAAAAAGCATCTCATATTTAACATGAGCACTCACCTTACCAAGAGATCAGAACTAATGCAAAAGAATATGAACAACATTTTACTTTTTTCAAATCCCGACATTTGACTTCAGAGCAATAAATCTAGCGCTTGTTTAGACAGGATCCTTTCCATATTAAAATGATTTGACATTTCTACCCTATTGAGCTTTATCACGTCACTCTGACCACAACACAAATCACAAAGTAACAAGGGGACCAGTTTTGAGACAAGACTCTTAAACAATATAAACCGATATCGTCATAACAAGAGGTTTTGAAAATTAAAGCTTACAAAACTTCAGCCTTCATTACAGCAAACCTGAACAAGTTGGATTTCTAAAACTCCACCATTTACTGACAATTTAAGACAAAAGACAGAGTGCACATAAATAAAAAAGTTTGAACTCTAGACAGTCAAGTACCGCACTGCAAAAGAACAACATAGCAATCGTCATAAAATTATATTCATGACAGATGAACAGAGAAACTAAACACATGTAAAAAAAGTGTAAAACAAGGGTGAAACATAATGCACTCACCTTGAACCAAGCCCAGAGCTCCATAGACGCCGAGCCTCATGTTGCGGTTGTCCTCATCCTTCGTGATGTTGGGGTTGCGAGCGTCGTTGCTCCACTGACTCAGCCAGATGTTGGAGTAGATGCTAGCCCCATTGTACAGGACATAGAACATGATGATGAGGGCGGTGAGCACAGGGCCCACCGCACGCAGATAGGCCAGGAACACAGACATCTTCACCTATTGGAGGCAATAGAGGTTCCAGTCACACGATAAGAGCAAACATTATCACTCACACAGACATAAAGACCAATGAAGGCACCAGTGGATTATGATGTCAAAAGAACAGTCTGAATTTTTTGTAAAGAGAGGCACATCAAGACAATGACAATAACTTTTTGCTTGGAACAACAAGAAAGATGAATACGTAGATAAAAACAAATTAAAACTTCTTAAAAACATATAGGCACAGCCAGCCAGTGGCATCCTTCAATCACATGCTTCTAAAAAACAGGCTGCTGTCTTCCCAAAAGAAAGGAATGGATAAGCTGATCCATCAACAGCAACGACAGCAGATAACAGATTAAAACAACAACAGCAAGTAAAATCAGTATGAAACCTATAACAGTAGGCCTACGTGGTTGGAGGGTGCTCTGATGTGGTTTGCTCCTTCTTTCCTTTCAAATATCTATCTTCCTTATCTCTCCTCCTTCTTTTTTGTGTTCGTTACTCCCTTGTAACCCCTCTAATCTTCTGCACTTATATGATCTTATTGTGTTGCAAGTGCCGAAAAAATCTTACGAAAAAAAACCCCCAAAAAAACCTATAACAGCGTTCTAACAACAGGTAAAAAGTTGAGGCTATGATCAACACCCGCCATCCATCAAACAAACCTGACTATTTGAGTGTTTTAGTTTTAGTAAAGTTTTATGGCACTTGCAACTCAAATAGGTCAAATAAAATGCTGAAGAACAGAGGTGTTACAGAGAGTAACATACAAAGAAAAGAAGGAGAAGAGATTAGGACAATAAATATTAGTTAGGAAAGAAGGAGCAAACCATACCAAAGCATCCACCAACTACCCACCATCAGAGCGAGCAAAAACAAAAACAAAGATTTAAATATTGAGGAAACAACTGTTCAGACCACAAGACAAAGACAGAAAGAGGAGGCAAAGCGCTTACATTCAAGACATGTCTACATAATACTATGCACAGAAGTTTAAAAGACAAAGTTTTACATTCAACACTCGGTATAGTGACTTTGAAAAGAGAAGCAGATAAACAGTTACAGCTTGTTCACTTTCGTCTGACCGCGATTAAAACAAGATAAAATGAAATCACTCTGTTTAATCTTCTAAGACCTTGACCAACAGAATCTAAAAGTTCATTCGTGTAAAAGGTACTGCAAACTAAGGTTCCAACGCGCTTTCTTCGATGTAAGCCTGTAGCAGGTCAAAAAAATAATAGGGAATTTACAGCATACACCTAAAAACATAGAAAAGTTACCATATTTTCCTCAACACCACAATTTCAGGCTCCTCTTAGATACACAATTCTAGAGACGAGGTAAGTAATTTTCGAGACTCATGTGGAGATGTCTAGACAAGCTTACACTGAAATGTGGGGGCAAGGTGGTGTTGCTGTTTTTAAAAAAACAATCTGTAGGCAAGGTTACCATAAGCCATTTATTTTAGTGATCTGGTGTAAGCATCCAAAGAGCGGTTTTTAATACAGGGCCCAAAAAGAAAAACTTTTTTATTACTGGATCAAGATTCTTTTTTTAATACTTTTGTTTGGTCGCTGGACCGCTGGCCTGCAAAAGTACCATGCAAAGTTTCATGAGCATGGGTAAATTAATAAATGAGCAAGAATTTTTTCAATGCAGACAAACGAAAGTGAGCAAGCTATAACCCGTCATACACAAGTTGCAGCACTTCAATACAGTCATACGGTTGTATAAAAATTTGGCAGCGGCTGAAGACATGTTCACAAATTTGTCAGTTTTAGAATACATGATAATAGCAGAAATTACAATGTCTTAGTCAAAATCAAGCCCCAAAATTACAAACACATGTCTAAAAAGCTGGAGTGCAAGTATTTCAAATCTCAATGCCATTATAGTGGAACAGAGCTGTATCGGACTTGAATACAAAAGTCCTTGCTCACACAGGAAGGACATTGTTCAGTTGTCACTAGTATTGGACGCTCCCAGCATCCAGTGGGGAACAGGGTTATTACAGCCAGACACTCCCAGCGTCCGAAGGGGTTTAAAGAGTTAAGAAAAGTACTTTATCCTATTAACCTCAATTCCTAAATTCATCCGACTGTAGATGAGTACTTGGCATTCAGAAGAAACCAAAGCAGATAGGGATTATGCAAACAATGGCTGTATGTTTGTAACAATCTACAAAGCTATAGGCCCCCTCTCAGACCAAAATGGTAATTTGGAAAGAACAGGCCAGTCAACAAAGTAGTGATGATGCATAAGTCTTCAGGGGGATATAAGATACAAGATTAAAAATAAGGACTTTGATTCTAACTTTTCTCCCTTGAACTATGAGATTAAAATCCTTACCCTTCCTGTTTCAACGGATTCGACTTTGACTAGTTTCTCATCATCTTTCTTCTCATGTTCCTTCAGCAACTTCTCCTCCTCCCCGTTTGCCATCCTGTCCGACACCTTGTTTCTTCGTTTGAGCCCTGGAGAGCTGGTTGTGTGGTTCAGCGACGTGTTGCTGCCCCTGGACATCTCAGACTCAGTGCGCAAGCGATCGCTGATAATGGAGACCTGCCTAGAAACACCAAACATTCATTGACAGTTGCAACAGTCATTTTGCTACTTATCAACAGTTTGTTTTGACTCCATCAAAAGTTTGTACAAGCCCTCTGGAAAAATTATAAAAATATCACAGATGCATTTTGTTGACATACAGGGAAATATTTACCTCCAGCTTAAGAATTTTTTTTGCAGTATGCTTGTTCAGGTGACCAATGTATCTCCTATCAACATATGAGGGACACTGGCAAAAAGGGACAAATCACTTTTTAATCAGAACATTACCATGAGCAAATTTTGACTCCATATCTTTTTCTGATAAGGAAAAAATGAACATGATACTGATCAAAAAAGGGTATGAGAAATGAGCAAGACAGCATTTGAAAAAAACTATAATAAGAATAAAACAGGCTCCTAGTAGCACCCACAACAGATCAGACCAAAAGGTTTTCAAAGAACCAACAGAAATTACAGCTGCACAAATTTCGGTATCCCCTAAGTACTTGAGCATTACTTTGTGATTATGTCTAACCATTAGGCTACAGCTGTCGGAGCATTACTTTGTGATACTTACTTCTGTAAGGTGATACTGTCATCCACCTGTGAACCCAGCTGAGACAAGATCTCATCTCGGATGCTCATCACTGGAGACAGAGAGAGAGACAACTATGAGTCAACCCAGTTGAAACCAGTCACAAAAAGATTGTGACAGATGATAGAGTGAAAAACAACAGGGATAAAAAAAAATATGTATCCTGAACATAAAAAAACAGTTAAAATTAAATAGAGAAAAAAATATATATTATTGCATTCATAAAAGTGTGTGTCTGAGTTTTTGTGTGTGTGTGTGTGAGTGTGTATGTGTGTGTGTGCGTGTGTGAATATGAGTGCGTGATTTGTGGGGGGGGTTGGTAAGTGTTTTACTGCGCTTGCAACTGCATAAAGTCATATGACCGCACAAGAGACACTTAACATTTTCAGTTGGTAGGAAATAATTTTGAATTTTGCCTAGGTGGCGGCAAAAGCCTACTTTTTATCGATTTTGGACCACCAAGGGAACTTCACTAGGTGCAACTTGTACACAGGACCTCCGAAATTTTTCGCCCTTGTCCAAGAAGGCTAGGTGTAGATCTTACCTACCATAAGATCAGGAGTGTGGCTGAAAGACAGCAGTAAGAAGGAGCCAAGGAGTAGCAGTAAAAAGGCTTCAGAAAGAGTGAGGAGCCCAGAGGAGGGGGCAAAGCAGTTGATGGGGTGGGGGCAGAAAGTAGAGACGAAAGCAAACAAAAAAACATTGTTAGAGAGCAGGACAGGAGGTGAAAGGGCAAACTTTTAGAGAACAAAATTTTCCATCGCTGTCCAGATTTGGGCCTGGGAACTATTGAATGAGAGGTAAACACCGTAACCACTGGACTAACTGAATCCCTTAGTGTAAGTGGGCATGTGTATGTGTATGCACAGTCGAACCTGTCTAAAACGACCACACACTGTTGAGGAGAAAAGTGGTCATATAAGACAGGTGGCCGTCATACGCAGGACTGATCAAAATGAAGGAAACAAACCATTCACTTCTAAGGTCCCATTTGGATGTGGTCGCAGGTTTAGGACTGCCATAGGGCCCATTAAAATGTTGTTGTTGCTGTTGATTTCTTTTGAAAGGGGGGAAGGATGACGTTTTGAGGGGGACTTATTGTTGTTAGTTTGTTGTTTTTTTTAAATTATTGTTCCTTGAAAGGTCAAAACAAAACAAAATGTGTCAGACAAGGAAGGCCAAGCGTCATAGTAAAACAAATGGGTCGCCACCACGCAGCGAACGAGCAACACTTCTCTCACAAATTTGTATAGACTTCCATTGTTATGGACAAGGTTTATAGACTGAGTTGTGGGTGGGGCTTATAGGTTATGACGGATCACAGGCTTCCCTTACCAGCAGCTGAAAATTTATTGTTAATTATTGGTCGACTCGGGTAAACACTGGGAGTGACCTAAGCAACACGATCATTTCATTTATTGGAGGGACAGACAACAAAGAAAGGTGAATGAATTATGTATGACAGCTAGTCCATAGTGTCAGGGAAAAATAAATCATTTTTGACAAAGTCTGGCCGTCTGAGGCAGATAAATTTGACAGTGGGTTGATGAAATAGGGTGGCCGTTGCCGCGTAGCGGCGATGGACAGGTGCCTGTTTTATAGTTAAATTATATTGAAAAAAATGTAGGGGGGGGATTGGAAAGTGGCCGTTTGTACAGGTGGCCGTACTATACAGGTGGCAATCATGGCAGGTTCAACTGTATTAATAAAAGTGAAAGTGTATGTGGTCGCTTTTAAGCACAAGGAGGTTATCCCGAAAAATGCTGTTTTGAGAAAATCGAAGGTACGGTTTTTGACCCTTGTTCAGCAGCTACATACATGTATTAAGCATGCACTTATCAGAGAGCCCTATGACTGCGGAGAAGGTGCAGAGACCATTTGCGTCTTGCTTGTTGACAACATTAACCCTCTGGGATCTGCCATACCTTCCCCTGCCCCCATCTCTCGGATGAGAGGACTTGGTTGCTCTGGTAGGAGGGGGGAAATCTAGCTTCCAATTGGTATTATTATTACTATTAGTATTATTATTATTATATTACATTATAATTTTGTATTTCAGCAACACACAGCATCTATGCTCTTAATAGCGTCTTTCTCTTCTTTATCTCCTCAAACAACTTCTCAATATAATACAACAGACACCAACATACCCATTCATTTTTCTTACAATCTCTCTGTGATGGAGTTGGGTTTTTGTTTGTGGCATTGCACCTACAGCCACTGCTTTATTTCCTACCCCGGGATGGAAGGAAAATCACAGAACCACCAGTTTTAGATGCTATTCACAAACGACTCTTGTTCAGTATCTTTAAAAGACAAGAAGAGTTTTCTCTATAATCAAACAAATATACACACCAATGAAACCAAACTTCTCCTATAGGAATGGCAATGCCCACTTTTGGTGTAGGTCAAAATTTCTAGAAACCACTGAAATCTGGGTTAGCCTGCTTGTCCTCAAAAACAACCATGTGTGAGTGGGTGCATATACATGTGTGTGCTAATGAGTGTATGTGTATGTGTGAGAGAGAAAGAGTGTGTGTGTGTCTGTCTGTCTGTATCTGTGAGTGTGTGGGTGTACAGGTCTCTTGAGATATTGACAATAAGCTCACAGTACTTCTGGATCTAGTTCATTATTCGAAATTAGTCAAACAATTAAAAGCAGTCCATTCCATCCTAAAAATTTTGACAGCTGAAACAAACCTGTTGCAGACAGCTCCATTTAGACTAATTTAGTACACATAATAAGAAATACTGCAATACATTATAATATAAAGAAAGCAGAGCATTGTATAAATATGTGTTCGTGCATCAGAATACATAGTGTAACATGTGAGGTGCAAAATAATTATTCATAAAGCATGTAAAAAATGGTTCTGATCACTTGTGCAAAATCTTCTGTTGATCAAACTCATAATCTGAATATTTTGCATTATAACACCACCAAGATACTAGTGCTGAAAATAGAATAAATTTTTGCTCAGAGCAAAAATAATATATGGTATTTATATAGCACTAAACCCAGATTAAAGTAAACAGGATCTGAGTGCCATATAATACAGCAGTAGCACATAAACAGTACATTGTGTTCTGACTTAAATCTATATACCTCATTAATTTAAAAACAGAAACAACTTTAGCTGACATTTGAATAAATAAAAAGATTTGATTGTTCTTAAACTACTGGGCAAAGCATTCCAGGTGTTAGAGCGGTAGTATATAAATGCCCCTTCACCCATTGTTTTAAGTTGCTTAGATGATAAAAGATATTTCTATTTGTCAGCTGATGGTCTTAAATTGAAAGTTGGAATGTACAGTGTAAACAGATTTAATCAATATGATTGTGCATTATCATCCACGCATTTGTTGCATAGAGTGGCCAACTTGCACATAATCTTTTTTCTCAAAAGGAAGCTAGTGCAGTGTCCGTAAAAAAGGTGTAGCAGAGTCTCGTTTTTCTTTCAGTAAAACTAAACACACAACATTGCTTTGAACAATTTAAAGTTTTTTGCTTTCTCCAGCGATATTCCAAATAACAAGGAGTTGATAAAATTAAACTAGAGTACCAACATTATTGTTAGGCCTATTGTCTAGACAACAACAAAACCATGGACATATTTTGCCCTGTTTTTACTTTAAAAAACACACAAAAGTTGGCCTTGGCAGCATAGAACATTATTACTAATAATATATTCAAGAGGAAATTTCTACAGACAAAATTTTTTTAATCTCTAGAAATCAGCAGCCTGCATTTCAAAAGGGAAAACCATGATCATTTTTTTTCCTGCATCTTTTCTCTGATCACATGACCAGGAATTAAAAATTAACATCAGACATGATCAAAAACGATTTGGCAAAAAGGAATCTTCTCATAGGTGTTTGGAATTTTTAGCAAATACAATAATCATTCTCTTAACTCATTTCAAACACTCAAAGAAGCAGCATCATAAGCAGTGAGTTAATGTGTGATGAGGCAGCAATCCATGCATTGACTGTAACTGTAAAGGGGATCACGGATTTACAAGAACGCAGGACATGTTCTCATGTACAAAAAACACAAGATCTACATGTATTAATTCACTTGTCACTACGCCATATTTTGCCGGGGTGGGGGGGGGGGGGGGGGGCTGAAACCTTTGATATACAAACTCCAAGGCTGAAACATGAAAACCAAGCTCTGAATTTTTAGTGTATATGTGAATAAAACAGCAATTCTGATCCCTAAAAAAGTAAACTAAACTAACAAAACAAAACAAACTCAAAATAAGCTGTAGAAACAGGAGAACCAATTTCTCTTTTGTTTTTTGTTTTTCGCAAATTAACAATACACTCCTGCTTGCCAATTCCTCATGCTTTCTCCTCTCCTTTCAATGCAGTCTTCCCTGACAAGAAAAGAAGTCATTGCCAAGGGCCCTAGTACTACTTAGGACTTCAAAATGGGACTATACAAAGACCTGGACAACACACACGCATTGCAATATGCCAAGTTCATGAGCATGTGTGAGTTCAATTTTTTAAATTCTTTCTAAATATGCCCATCAACCTTTTAAGGCTGCAGGGTTGAAGACTGAGTTTTGTCTATTTACTCAGATTTAGTTGCCCACTGAGCCATAAGATACATGGGGTAGTCTCAGAGAAAAACTAAAATTTGTTTATTAGATAATCTTATCGCCTCACACCAGACACACTTGAAGCAGAAAACATGAGATCGAAAACATCCATTATCTCAGTCCAAGAGCATATTGTAAAGGAAATTAGTGTGCTCAGACACACCTCCATGGCTGACCAGCAGCTTTTCTGGAAAAAGTTTACAGAACACCAAAGACAGCAGCAACAGACTGTGTAGCATATCAGGAACAGAGCCATTCCCTCAACTAAGTGAGACTTCCTGCCTAAGGACAAATGGGGCTTACATCTTAACATTTCTGTTATCAATTTAAGGGTTGTAGAAGTCATTTTGACAATGCCAAGGCCTGAAGAATGATGTCATAAAAGGAATATCTTGGACTGCAAGATTAAATGACATTGTAGTTTTTTTCATTTCATGTCACCGTAAGGACATTAGGTGGTTCAAGACAACACGCAGCATGACTCTAGTCAGAGGCCACTGTATGCCGCTACACTGACAAAATTAATACAAATAAACATTTACAAAAACACTGCTGCTTTCTGTTTTCTCAAAAAACACACTGCAATCATTTTCAAACCATGTTACAGTATGTTTAATAAAGTTCCACGAATGTTCTACTATAACAGCTTGCTACTGTCTTCAATACATATTTCAGATAATATAAATATGTTTTGTTCTGTAAAGAAATTGTGTCAAGGAATAGTGTATCTGTGGTTTGGAGGTCCATATAAAAAAGAAATTCATACCAATATTACAACAGAAGGAGGGCAACTGGACAAAATAAAAGGTCCAAAACTATTCGCGACCTTAGTGCTTTCTTGTCATATCTCCATTTTTTAAAACAGTGAAAATGTAACATCTTCTTAAGCTCACTCTTTGTTATGAACTGTTTTCACTGTTATTAAAAAATGGAGATACAACAAGAAAGTACTGGGGTAGCGTATTGAAAACCAACAATACAGATATCCACCAAGAACATGGGTTAATCAAAATCACATACATTGTCAAGTAAGCTGCAGCGATTACAAAATTTGTAACAAACATATCAAAAATGGTACAACTAAAATGTCCGTTTTCATTACATACATCTGTTTTTAGGATTTCATGTACAGCTCACCCCAGTCAATTCTACTGCTTAAATGTCAAGAAGCAAACACAAAATACAGAGCCCACTATCCTCACCAGTAACCTTCATGATGACAAGCATTATACAGACAGTTCACCAAAACAAAGAAAAGAACAGTTGACAATAATTTATTTTTTTTAAGATTAAATTTCCTGTTGGAAATATTATGACATTTTTTAAGTAAAGGAAAATTAAACAGAAGATTTGAAAAAAAAAAAAGGAAACTATTCTGATGCTCAATACAATAGTTTACTGGTGCATTGCCTTCTTCTTCTTCTCTATAAACTCTTTGAATATGGGCCCATCAAATAAAAGTTAATTGCATGCAGAAGCTGAAAAGATAGGAATCCTGAATATATCATGTTGCCTTTGCTGAGTAAAAGGTTCAGAAGAAACAACAGAAGAGATAATGAGAAATACAGATGAATGCTGAAACCGTTCTTCCGTGGTTGCAGGATTTCCCGACTAACACTGTGTGTGTCGTTCCGCACTTTAAAGTTAACACACATTCATTCAACACTGTCCCCTGCTCCTTGTTTTTGTATGTGAGAATTTGTGAGAATTTGTGAGAATTTGTGAGAATTGTGCTTGCGTGTGTGTGTGTGGGGGGGGAGGGAGAGTGCCTCAAATGGGTCTTGAAATGTGCATTTACGGTCCCCTGATTTGTCAATTAAAAAAGATAATCTTGCACTGTACAGTACTTAGAGCCTTTCAAAGATTAGGTGCTATACAAATCATCATCATCCTCCTCCTCTTTTTTTTCTTCTTCTTCTTCTTCTTCTTCTTCTTCTTCTTCTTCTTCTTCTTCTTCTTCTTCTTCTTCTTCTTCTTCTTCTTCTTCTTCTTCTTCTTCTTCTTCTTCTTCTTCTTCTTCTTCTTCTTCTTCTTCTTCTTTTTTTTCTTTTTTTTTTCTTTTTCTTTTTCTTCTTCTTCTTCTTCTTCTTCTTCTTCTTATTATTATTATTATTATTATTATTATTATTATTATTAATATTATTATTACCATTATTATTATTATTATTTTTATTACTTTTTCTAGTAGTAGTAGTAGTAGTAGTAGTAGTAGTAGTAGTAGTAGTAGTATTTATGCTCACAATATATTTCAGGGGAAATCTCCTATGGGTAATGCAGACTCTTATTTACTTGAGCGCAGTATCTAAAACTTTCCTGAGAATCCTTGAGTTGACAGCACAAACCAATCCATTCATGGGCTTCCAATTATAAAGCCCTTTCAAATACAACAAAAGGGTAAATAAAGCAGTAATCAATATTGACCAATCCCTTTTTAGGAAGCAATTTCCGTGACAGAACAGGGCGTGCATCAAAACAAAATTCAATGCAGTACAACCTAGAAATAATGCACCCCAACTCATTGCGACTTTAGGTATTGCATGACTGATATGTACGCCTAATCTTTAAAGAAGATGAATATTACATTTGCTGAGGTTTGATTTGTCTCAATCTTGACAGCAACAACAAATCATTCGCAGCTTTCTTTGCTTAAAAAAATAGCAAAACTTATATGCCCTAAGATGAACAGTTGAACTTTGAGCCAATTTGGGTGGTGAATAACATAGGCCACACAATGAAACTGTTTTTGATTTATCTTAAACGCTAATGTCTATATGAATCCCCAATCAGACCCCAGCACATGCTTCTTTCACAAAGACCAAAGGAATAGGTAATGCATTATAACATGGTTTCACTGACTCATGCAAGTCAAAACAAAAAAATAAAGGAAGCATATGCAATAATGATTTTAACTTTAGAAACACAAGCAGGAAGGATTCTATCTCAAAATGTGTCAATTTCAACAGTAAAATCTCCACCACTCCTTACCCTCAGAGCCAGTCCTGGACAGCCCTGCAAAAACTCTCAGGCATTAGCAATGGGTGATGTTCGGATGTCGTGTACAGCAAGTCAGCATTGTAACAACCACATTTGGCTAGGAAGCAGATAAGGATAATAGAAAGACCGAAAAGAAACAGAAGGAGCACACTACACAACAACAGTCATCAGCACGATGTTAGTGGCGAAAACATAAATTATGAATACAGAATACATGATGCACAGCGAGTCAAAAGTGTCTTGACTGATCTACCTGTCCAGCAGCATTGGGCCGACAATAGTTCATGCACGGTCGGATAATATTACTGGATAAGCAGTACTAAAAAATAAAGCTTTCTACTTTTCACAGCCTTTGAGCAAAAGTACATGGATAATTTAAACAGCACTACAAGTCCATTTAAGAACACAAATACCCTATGCAAATTTACAATAACTCCCAAAACTAGTTTTTCCAATCCAAATTTCTGTGTTCCAACCCCACTGGAAACCTGTTGGGTCAGTCTATCATTCACAGATTTGCTATCGTTCACTTATTTCTGTCTTCACCAACAAAACTCTTTTTGCAGGAGGGTGAACCATGGAAAACAAGGAACATTATCATTTCAAACGGCACAAAGCCCTTCCATTTACAGGTGGAAATTTAACTTCTAATCTTGCAATTGCGAGTCTGATGAATAGGATACCCTTTCTAAGCTACACATACCTCAAATTGAAAGGTTGCAAAACAAATAGCCTTTTCAGATTAAAAAAAATTAAAATACAAAAAGCATTCAGACAGAAGAAAAAAAACTCAACATCAAGCACAACAATACATCATATATACCAAAGACCGTGAACTACATAAGACTGTAGCTTTCCACAGACTACTGTTAGCGTTTTGTGTGGTCCTTCTGCAGAAAATTTTTATGAGATCCTCCAGCCCTGTGACTTGTTAATGATCTTCCTTCCAAGCACTTTTCTTTACTACACTACTGCTAAAAATGTATCAAGAAAGGGTTGAATCCTTATCCAGGAAACAGTTTAGTTGTAGTAAGCACTTTAAGGCACTTGCAACACAGATAGGTCTTATAAGTGCCAATGGTTACAGGTGGTACTAAAAAGTAACATACAGAATAAAGGAGGAAAGATAAGGATGATAGACGTTTGATAGGAAATACGGAGCAAACCATATCAGAGCGCCTGCCAACCATCTACTCCAAAAGATAGTGCTACTATTCAGTGCATCCAAAGCAAAAAAGATACAAAGTTTCTTTTATTATATATGTTCTGCAAAAGGACCATGTAAAACAGCATAGTATTTTGTAATTCACAGTCTCTGGCTAACCTGTGCGCTATCTAATATCCAGATTGACAGGGTGCTATTAAAATCACGGTGATTCCATGTCAAAACTTACCTTCTTCATCTTGCACCCCTCCATCTCCTTCTTCCAGTTCTTCTGTAAGGTAGTTGCGAAGGAAATCTGCAAATGCCCCATTATGACTCATCAGCTCAGAAAATGATCCAGTCTCTGACACACAGCCGTTGACTAGTACCACTATCTTGTCCACTTGGGGCAAAAAGCCAATGCCATGGGTGACCAGAATTCTTGTCTGAGAAGGTGCAGATAAAATAAAATCAGAGAGAAACAGACTTCAGACTTTATGGAATTTTCCTCTTGTTTGAAGGGAAGCATGTCAGAGTACCACTCATAACCATGGAGTGCCCAACTGCTAGACATTTTGATCTCCTATGTAAAACACTTTCCCTTGTGAAAAAAAGAAGCAGATAGGGAACAAATGATTTTTTGACTGTCATCAAAGAACGATGAAAAAAAGACAATACGTTTTGACTTCCAATACAGAGAACCATATGACACCGGAATGGCTATTTAGCAGAGGCAAAACAGAAGACATAGAAACAAAAACAACAGAGGGAAAGGAAGTACAAGCTACCAGCTGCTAGAAAAACAATGACTGACATCAATAGAAGACAACTGAACAACAGAGAGAGAGAGTGAGGGAGAGGGAGAAGGAGAGGGGGAGGAAGGGAGTGAAGGAGTGAGGGAGAGAGGGAAAGAGTGTGTGGAAAGATTTTGCATGGGTGTGAGCATGAAAGAGTTTTGGAGAAGCATAGTGATGGTGATACAATATTTTTGAAAATCTATTGCCATTAAGACAAAGAAAACTAGAATGCCTGTTGTCTGTTCAAGTGTTTGAGAATGAGAAACACCACATGGGACACGATGTGACAGTGCCAGGCAGGGACTAAAAACAGGTGGACACATTGGTGTAGCTCCAAAAGAAGCAAAAGTTCTTCGTTGTGCGTCATGCATCATGAGCCACCAAACATAGCAACTAAATCTACATATCCACGATAAACCAGAGTAAAAAAAGTAAAACAAAACTACTGGGAAGTCAAGCTTCGATAAAGAAGCACACTTGACAAATATTTCGAAACTTTTCAAATAACCCACAAAGCAAAAGGATCTATTAACAAAATATTCAGCAACAAGAAAATATAACTGTCTACCTTTCCCTTCAGCATGCCGTTGGGCCCTATGACCTTGTCAAACAAGTGTTTCCCAACGTGAGAGTCAACAGCACTCAGCGGGTCGTCCATGAGATACACGTCCGTGTCCTGGTACACGGCTCGAGCCAAGGACACCCGTTGCTTCTGACCACCAGAAAGGTTGATGCCCTAGGAAATACGCAACATTCATTTCAAAGGAGGAATTCAAGAGCACAAATACAATACACAGGAGAGGAAGAACCTGCAAATATTTTAAAGAGAATACAATAGTATGATGTCATAGCACTGAAACATGACCAAAAAAAAAACATGATGTAATTCCAAAGACAGCACCAGCCACAACCATCATCCATGACAATGCCCACTGGTACACAAGTGTACAAAAAATAATCATGCAAAAAATTCCACTGTCTCACAATTATACACGAAATAGAAAAATCTGGGAAATTCCACCATCACGCAGCTACACAAGAAAAATTAAATCTGGAAAATTCAACATTTCCAAGAAACCAAAAGTATATAGAAAGTGTAACCACTAAGAGAGTTACAGGAGATTCCCCCATACCTTCTCTCCAATCTCTGTCTGATCACCACCAGGTAAAATGCTGAGGTCAGTACGCAGTGCACAGGCATCCACCACTTCCTCATACATAGATGAGTCCAAAGGCTTGTTGAATAGAATATTGTTCTGCAAAGTCTCATTTTGAATCCAGGCTTGTTGAGCTACATAGGACACAGAACCCTGGTCATCAGAAGACACAAACAAGAATACTGTATGTTGCAGACATATAGAAAGCATTAACAACTCAGGTACACTGAATATCAGAACCAGAAGAAAATTTGTTAAATAATGAATAATGCATAAGCATTGATCAGAAATAAAACAAATTTGTGACATGTTATTCCAGTTCTTGAAGTTCATTCACACATTATTATAAGAAAGTAAAAAAAACATAACTTATGTGTATTGTGCTTAAGTTTTAGAATGTCATTTGTAGATATAAACTATAAATCAACTAAGATGGGGAAAAAATTGATGCACAAGTGTATTAGCATAAGTGCACCCAATCTCTCTTTGACAGTACAAACACTCAGACTTTTAAATGTCTCTCATAAAATGAAAGTAAACAGAAGAGCAGGCTTAAGACTTACATCCTGCAAAACTTTTTACAATATATTATTGTTAACATCTTAGAAGATATCACATCTCTGAAAAGGGACATACAAAACAACAAGTACTGAAAACCAATCATTTCCAGGATCTCAGAAATATCCAACAAAGTAGCACCTTGCAGAACGCAATACATGAAACCTCTGTGAGAACGTACCCGTGTACTGACAGTACCAGAGATCTTGTCCATCTCTCCTAACATCGCTGCCAAAAGTGAAGACTTCCCAGCTCCCACAGCTCCCACAACTGCCACAAGGGATCCTTCCTCTGCTTCCAAACGGATACTGGAGACAAGAAAAAGGAAAAGTAATCTAAACACGTTGCAGATAAAGGGCAAAATCATACAGAACTGTGAATTCCATTGGCTATTGCAAAAACTGACGGAAAGATTACCAGAGACAAAAAAATTTGCACATTGGTCAAAAATATATAAAACATATAAGTAAGCATTTTGGACAAGACAAACATAAGGAAAAAATAAGCATTCTGGCCAGTTCAAAAAAAAAAGTAGGCACCTAGACAACACAAGACTAATGATAAATCAAACATAAGTACACTAACCAGAAATTTTTTAAAAGATAAATAAAAATACATAATTATTTAGGAGACAGAAACTTAGTGGTAAATCCTAACTCCAATACAAAAATGTGGAGATCATTTATAAAAATTCCAACCATCTGCAAAGAAAAAACTCCTGGAAACCTGCAGAACTACACAAATGTTCCTTTGTTCCATAGACTTCATCTTGAATATTTTTAAAGACACTGGCTCTCATTATTTCAAGCTTTGTCTCCTTTAATCTGAATTCATCCATCCTCCAAAATAGTCTACGCCTTCACAATAGAAACTTTAATAATTCTTTATAAATCTACTATAGTAGCAATTTGGGAAAAGAATATACAAGATGATCAAAAAGCATCAAGAACATCAAGAATATACAAGACGATCAAAAAGGCATCAAGAATATTTAGTAGAGACCTAGATAATCATGATTTGATTCTGTACAAGACAAACGTTCCAAAAAAGGCACAAATAATGTGAAGTGACCATAGCCATCCACTGACATCGGATTTCAATTACTGATTCGCAGAAAACAGCTTATTTCGAAGAGAGCAAAAATAGAAATAGAAATTCATTCATACCAACTACTGTGAGGTAACTGAACGTACAGTGCTACAAATGATATGGAGAGAGACACAGAGAGAAAGGGTGAGAGAATGGTTAAGTTTAGTTTTAAAAAGCATTTCAAACCATTTGCAACACAAATAGGTCATATAAGTGCAGAAGATTAGAGATGTTACAAGAAAGTAACAAAAAAAGGGGAAAGATAAGAACAATAGATGTTTACAGAACGGGGTTGTTTCAGCCAGTAATACATTCTTTCATGTTGTGAGTAGGTGCGAGTGCACCTGACCATTGTAACACAACTGCCATTGTAAATGACCATGATAAATTTCTTCCTGAGAGATAAATACCCAATACCCCAAGACACAAAGCTCACAAATTTTAGCTTACTTTGAAAGAGTGGTGTTCCCTTCTTCCCAACTGAAGCTGGCGTTTTCAATCTTGATGGATGGCTCTGAAAACAAAACAATGAAAACAGATTAAAACATGTACACAAATGTATGAGTCTGTAAATCATCTACAGATCAGGTGCAACAACTACCTTCAATTGTAAATTACTGCAAGTATTCTATGCCCCATTGACAAATGATCATTTACAATGCAGGCTGCTTCGACCCGGTTTCTCAAGGCCAATCCGGGCTGAGCCAGACACAGCACTCCAGCATTAAGACGAACACAGACATAAAATAAGACTTTTCCCAGACAGAACGGAACTCATGTACTCTGCATACAGTGGCAAAGAACCTGAGCATAACACCATATACACCAGTTGCCTTCTGAGAAAACCAAACAAATAATGTTAATCAACAAGCATCACTTTAAGTTACTGCCACCGTTTGACTACCTTACTTTAACTGGTCAAGTGAAATCAGGATCACTCTATTCCAAAGTTCTGTCTTGTACCTCTTCTCACAGTGATTTGAATTAAGTATGGTATAAAATACTTGAATAACCGGAAGGACTTTAGAGTGTCTTCTTCAAGGTACATAATTCCCTCCCTCGCGAACAGTTTCAGTGTCTCAGCAAAAAAAAAAAAAAAAAAAGCAAAAATACACATGAATAAAACAAGCAACCTTTGAAGAGAGTTGGGTTGCGCCATAGCTTATAGCAAGTCAGAGCAACAACAGCTATATTTCATCAGGAAAATACCTCCTTCTTCCTTATTCTTCATCCAGCCATGCCAGAGGTCCTCACAAATGCAGAGGTTCATCAAAATGTCTCCAAGTAGCCATAAAGCTTCTATCTAAGTGGGACTGGTTTCAACCATGCAGCCACAGCATAGTATATTATAGCTGTTTTTTAGTAGAGGTTTTTTGGCGCTCGCAACTGCATAAGGTCTAATGAGGGCCAGAAGATTAGAGGTGTTACAAGAAAGTAACAAACTTAACAAAGAAGAAGGGGAGATAAAGACGATAGATGTTTGATAGGAAAGAAGGAGCAAACCACACCAGAGCACCCGCCAACCACCCACATTATATCTGTTTAGGACTATAGTAACACGACAAAAAAGTACAAGGGGCAGACAACACCAGAGCACCCACCAACCACCTGCCTCTAAAGCAAAACAACCACAGAAGAATGAGACAATACAGCAAAAGTACTGAGAGAGAAGAACTTAAGAGAGCCACTCACTGAGGAACTCATCTTTCTCCACACATTCGGCGTCTAGTTCTGTGTTGTCCACAAATGCTTGAAGCCTCTTCAGGGACACATTGGCCTGAACAAAAAAAGAATACAAAGTGTACAAATTCAAATTATTTGCATAAGAAAGCTTGAACATAATTTTTGTTACTAAATTCAAGTTGAAAAGAAGTTTATCGTCACTTTTATGTGAGACTGCAAAAAGACAATGCAAACATTAAAGATCCCTTTGTCATTTAAAATTGTAGAAGAGTAGACCGTAAGGCATGCACATTTTTTTTTATTCCCTGCTATAAAAAATACCAAACGTAAATGCTGACACAGTTGGCCATTCCAAAACGACCACCCACAGTCGGTAATGTCAAGGAGAAAGTGGTCATCTTAGACAGGTGGTCTTCTTGAGTATACCAAATTTTAAAAATACATTATCTTCTAAGGTCCTAATAGAAAGTGGTTACTGGCTTAAGACTGCCATAAGCCTGGTAAATTATTTTGCTCTTTTGAAGGGAGGAGTGAAAGAAAAGTTTTCTTGTTTTTGTGTTTTGTTTTTTTGTTTGGTTTTTTTTTTTGGGGGGGGGGGGGGTTGGGAGGGGGGTGTCAAGTTGATTTAATAAATTAATAATAACCAATCTGGGAATAAGAGATTTTATAGGTCAACTTGAATAGTTTGGGGAGGAGGGGGGGGGGGGCTGTTTGTTGATAAAATACAGCGGTCACCATCTTGTTGGACAGATTGTCGTTTAGGACAGGATAAAAAACAACTGGTGAATATTAAGCGAAAGATAAAACTAGCAGCCACTTACCTGCACCATATTGGTGATGACATTTGGTACCATCGACAAGGGGAACCGCAAAATATTGAAGAGTGCAAGAGACACAAAGGCTTTTTCTGCATCCAGAATGTTGTCCTCGGATGACATGACGTAAACAGCAAAAGTAGACAATGACACCTGAAAGAAACAAGATGATAGTTGTTTATAAGGACAGAACTTATTTAAATACCCTGACACAAAAGTAACACTGTCATTCAAAGCTATCATGCACTTTTTTTTTTTTTTTTTTAAAGAGAAAACATAGCGTGAGACTTGGACAGGAAAATAGAGCGAAAATATACGCAAGTACAATCTAAAGAAAAAAACCAAATCCAAACAATCTTGAATATCTTCATTGAACAGAAGTTTTACAAATGACAGAGATATCTCTCTCAGACTCAGATCGATAGCAAGTCAAAGCAAAGAATCTTAATTTAAAATTATAAACTCCATCATGAGCCAAAACAAATGTTAAAGACAAAATTTGAACTGAAAATATTCTACCCACAAAAAAAAAGAAAGAAATTACAACACTGGACTAATAACTGAAAGCCATCCTATAACAACTGGTCTTGAGCAAGTGTGTATATATGCAATACTTATGAAGGAGGCAAGTGGTTATTTCTGCACTATTGTTGCACATGTGTCTATGAAAAAATTAGGATACCCCGGGGGCGGTGCTATTGAATGAAGCGTCTTTAGGCCATTCTCAAAGGCGCGGACATTAATCATGTTCTTATGCACAGTAGAATTGTAACTGTAAATGGGCTGATTCATCAATGTCAAAGTGGCCAAGTATCCGCAACACTTACTATCGTCATTCTTCCTCTACTTTTTTTGTATGCTTGTCACACTCTTGTGACCCGTTATTTCAGGGGTGCCTTGATAGCTGAAGCAGACTTTGTGCTGTTGAAGCTAGAGAGGTGAGGAGAAAAAGTCTGATTCCCTGTAAGGACTTCTCAGTTGACAAATACCCCTTTGTGCTCATATGACCTTATGCAGTTGCGAGCGCCGTAAAAACTCTATTACTAAAAATAGGAAGATTCCTTCAGAGTAGATGTAGGAGAAGACAAACAAAGAAAATAATATGAAAATTTCTTTTAATTTCTTACGGCAATATAAATATCTATTCAAAGGAACAAACAACAGAGAATCTCTCAAATTCAACAGTTGGTGTAGACTTTGAGCAAAGTTAAGAAGCTGCTAATCACTCACCAAAATAGGAGCACAAGTCCAGAAGAAAGAACTGGTAGCATTGAGGTAAGCAGCTTTCTTCAACACATGCAGCTCTTTGTTTCGGATCTCGAGGACTTTGTCTTGGAAGGAGCCTTCCCAAGCATAGAGCTTAAGCACCTATGAAAAATAAAAGAGCATTTGAGACCATGATTATCGATTCTTCTCACCATTTTTTTCAAAGTATATTTAGAGAATAAGTAGTGAAAAGAAACTGCCCTAGTAAAGAGGGAAAAAAACAAATTGAATGAAAGGCATTTTATAACAACTGCTTTTGCTTGGCAGACTGTGCTAATAAACTATCTTTTTCAATGGTATGAATAACTATAGCTATTCTGTGTACACAGACTAAGACATATAGATACAATACAAGACATAAAACACAAATAGATTCAACAATTTTCTCTAACTCTCACTTTCAAAAAAAAAATATTACTCATGGAGATATAAGTTTTCTCATACCTTGATGCCATTGAGAACTTCGTTCATCAGTTTGATTCTAGCATCCTTCAGAACCATCTGTTCTATCTGTTAAACAAAAGGATAAGAAAAGAAATTGCAAGACATATTTCAACAAAAACAAAATAGCTATAACAGTAAACAATGTTCTCTAACATCTCTTCACAAGCAACATATTTATAAATCAGCATCTTGACCAGACACAGTCCTACCTACAGTGAATGTATCCTGTGTTTGATGTCATCACCCTGAACTTTTCTAGACTAGATGCAATCATGTACACAAAATATCAACTACCATTCGAGCAGCCATGGAAATGGATTTCTCCTGAAGAGCTTCTAATAAAGAGTCAAGGAGACCAAACTGTAGCAGAAACGTTAAAACTTTTAAGACATGCAGTAAAGAAGTAACTATTGATGGCAATTTGATATACAGAGAAGACACCAATAAAAAGTCCAAACATGGCATGACCGTAAGTTCAGTTCCTAAAAATTTCTAGGGCCAGATAGTACCCTCTTCCATTGCTTACCTGATACTTTCGAGTCAGGTGAGCAATGACAGCATTGATGGGGATCAGCAGAATCATGACACCGATTCCTGCCAAGGCAGATGGCCCCAGAGTCTGCCACAGGAAGTACAGAGCCACGCTGATCTGGAAAGGCCCCGACCAGAACATGTGTAGGTACGTGGTCAGGTCCATGAAGCGCTGGGCATCTACTGACATCAAGTTGACTATCTCACCCACAGTGGATGTCTTCTTTGCTGCATTCGACAGACGTAGAGTCTAGATAACAAAAGAAAAATTTTGTTTAAGGCATGATGCGGGGGAAGACCATGGTCAAATGACGTTATTTTTTAGTCTCAGATCAAAATTGGGCTGTTAACGGATTCGAGTACTTTGAAATGTCTACTTTCCCAAAATGAAAATCTTATGTCCCTGTCAGCAGCAGAACATGTTCAAAAACACTCACAAAGATGACACCCCCTTTCCTCTTAGTGAAAAAAACCCCGCAATTTTTTTGCACTAAAATGTCCTTTCATGAAATGGGCATAAAGCTCTCCGCACGCTCAGAAATCAGTCATGTTATACATCATTTTGAAGATTGTGATCTCTAATTTCGCAAAATGGCGATTCAAAAGCAGTTCAGACTTGGTCATTGATGTAAATTAAGTTACGAGTAATATGTCTGTATCCATTATTATTTAGCTGAGAATGATGTGTCGTCGTCATGATGTACGCAACTAGATTACTGCGCACGTGCATGTGCAGTTTAAAACATGTTTAACTAATTTCAAATTCAAGTTAATCAACATTTTGTGAATGAGCTCCCCTTACAATGCATGAGCACTTGAACATGCCAGAACTGGTCAAATACCGAAGATTTCAGCCAAAGCCCACTCTCATGGCGTCAAAATGGGGATCGTCTCCCTGTGTCATACGGCCCTCAACGAGAGCTCGGTAAGAGCTTCCAAATTTCCGCATAAATCTGGAAATCTAATTCCTGAAAAATTCAGAATTTTGCCCGACTGACCAATCGTTAAGAAGCTGTGGCACTTTTTTTTCAAGAAGTCTTGACAAGGATATATGAGAAAACTATTTAGTAAATTTTAAGCCTCCGTGCACTTGATTTCACGTAGTCGGAAAAGTTCAGGACATTTTTTGCTGGAAGCCAGTTAGCACAACTGCTAGATACAGCCGATCTACGTTATCCTCTAGCTTTGACCAGGGCGACGGCGAAAAAAACCAACAAAAAAAAACCAACAACTGAGACGAAAACACAATCTTTTCGTTTTACAGTGACAAACGTCTTGTGCGGGACGCCATGTATTCGGATTCACTCTCGCCGCCGCCAGCCAACTCTTCAGCTTTCGCCCTCGGCAGTGCTGTGTAGAATCGAAGAAACCAAGTCGTTTTTCGAAACAATATCCATCGCCGAAGGAAGGCCTTTTCAATATTGGCAGTATACGAAAGTCTGACTGAGCGATCATAACCCAACAGTACACCCATCCCCACAAGCCATTGTCTCCACAGTTCTCCACTCGCTGACCAGCCAAAAACCCTCCCACACGACACACCCTAGTTTGGGCGAGCCTTGAAGTCTCCCACGAGTATCTGAATAGGGTTGTACCGTGAATGCAGAAAAGTTACGGAAAATTTCCGTTCTAACTTATTCTAAGTACGTATTTCAGTATTCGGTTGAGAATATAAAAAAGCATAACAGCGGTTTGAACAGAGTTCTTGAATATCATGCACGAAAAATCTTGAACTGTGTGGAGATAAATATTGTACGAAAACGACCAATCAAGTTTCTGTATCGTCCTTGTAAACTTAGTGGGATCAATGGTGGAAAAAAAAGGACTAGGAAAAAAAAACAACCAGCTTAGGACTTAGACCAACCTTTCCTGAGCCTGAGAGACAACAGGGTTGACATTGATGAGCAACTGAATGCTGAGTGAGTCACCAGCGTGGATGGACAGTAAGTGGAAGAATATCACATTGAATTCTTCCCCCCCCCCTCCTCTCTCTCTCTCTCTCTCTCTCTCTCTCTCTCTCTCTCTCTCTCTCTCTCTCTCTCTCCCTCTCCCTCTCCCTCTCCCTCTCCCTCTCCCTCTCTCCCTCTCTCTCTCTCTCTCTCTCTCTCTCTCTCTCTCTCTCTCTCTCTCTCTCTCTCTCTCTCTCTCTTTCTCTCTCTCTGCCATGGTTTTGGGTGGTCTGGGGTGGAATAAACAGAACTGCCCTTGTGAAAATCATCGGATGGCTTGGTTTAGTGGACTACATCATATCGCGCAAGTGCTGTAACGTCATGTCTTACCCTTATTTTCGTCATGGTGTCATTCAAGTAGTCATCCCCATGCTAAACAAGGCATTTTCTTATAGGGCCAATGCCATTAGAGCATTCTTAAACAACCAAATCAAGTCAACATTCGAGTGGTTACCAATAAACTGCCCCGATATGAATCCTACAGGTTAGTGAAGTTCCATGAGACTGCGGCTGAAGAAAAACGACTTCCCCCCCCCCCTCCCCAATTCAGACCCTTTGTTTGCAACTCCCTGTGACATTTAAAATGAAATGACAGATAAATAAGTCCTAAATTTAATAGAATCGATGCCCAAAGGTTTTGTGCACAACACAAAGGCAATGGTTCCTAAGCAAATTAACAAAGAACACAATTAGTGTTGAGTCCAAGTTTTGTGTAGTATCTGTGATTGCTTTGTTGTCCGTTATGTTTAAAACTATCGTGACAAAATATCGTAATAAAATATTGTTTGTTGCAAAGACAAAATTCTCCATTCACTGGGCATGCAATACATCGCCATTCGATCAATATTGACACTCTTCAGTAAATGTGCAAAGACAATTTTACGTTTCTTTGATTTCGCACAATTTTGCCAAGCCTGATTTTTAAAGGTCAATTTTGAGTGACCATATCTCGAGTGTCTCTTAAAATAGATTAAATATTAATGCGTCAGATGATGACAAATTTATTTAGCTTTAAATTGGTATGCTGCATGAGTGGGTAATGCAAGGCTTTAACACGATAACTGGGTGATTACATTTTCAAATTTCTTTTGGACGCAACTGACAGTAAGTTTTGCGCGTCAAAACTTTTAGGGCTTTTTTCTCAAAATGGGCTCTTTCAAGGGGGGTGGGAACGCAAAAAATCTATCGTTCGAAAAGTTGTTAAGATATCTTCATAATTTTTGGTATACTGATAGATGAAACATTATTATAGTGTAATAAGTAGTGACGTTTTAAAAAATCTTGAATAAATGATTTTATTATAAATTTTATCTGTTGTTATGATCTGAGACTTTTGTGGTCAAAATATTTCCCTAGTTTGGACCTCGATTCCTAAAAATATTTTTCTTCCTACATCAAAATGCCAAGTTCATCCACTAAAACAGCCACAGAAAGCTACAAAACCACTTGTTATAATATTTTAACATCATTTTTAACCTTATGATAGATTTTTTAGAATTTTGTATATTTTCTATATATGACTTCCCAATATGGCATCCGTTACCATAGCAACACAAAAGAATTTTCAAAATTTTACTTCATATCCTACTTCACTCTATTTATATTGATGCTACCACATTTGTAAGCTTGGTCTCTTCTTCATAACGGATTTCAAAATTTCCCCCGTATCATGCCTCAATAGTAGTTTATTTTTGCTGTTCAATAGTATACAGGGAGATAGTATATCATATAATAATAATAAAACATTTATATAGCACTCAACCCCGATGAAGAACTGTGCCCTTTACAAATCTAATAGCAACATATAAAAAGTGCAGTGTTCTGACTTAAAATATATCTATTTTTGTCTCAAAATGAACAATTTGTAGGCTAGATTACTGTATATAAATCACTCATTGTTGTGATCCCAAAGGGTGGTGTTTAATATAGGGCCCAAATAAAGAGACTTTTTTATGACTGGATCAAAATTTGTTTAACAATATTTTTGCTTGGTCGATGGCCTACAGGAGTGCCATGCAAAGTTATGTGCACATTGGCAAATTAATAAATGAGCAGAATTATTTAACCTATATAAACCCTAATGAACAAACTACAATCATGCTCACGACTGAATGATGAAGAGAACATAATCTTTTGCAGTCTTTGAACTCTTTGAGCCCTAGTCCAGAAATCACAGGCACCCAAGTTCTCTTGGACTGTCTGCTAGATTTACATCTACCTATGCTGAGGTGTATGTTCAGAGCAGAGAAAGGTAAAAGCAGCATGCACCCAGGCATGCCCACAGGCCTATAGGGCTAGGAGAGAGTAAAGGACAACATGGTTACACCCAAAACAAGTGGTTAGGTTGCCAACATTAGTGAAGCTCCTGACCAAACCCAACAAAACTTTTTACACACCTAAATAGTCAGGGCAATGAACAAACCACTAACCTTTCTGTAAATGACCGAAATTATAGTCGACCTCAGCCTCATTCCCAGCAGGAAGGTAGCGTGGAAGTACTGATGAAGCAGGATGGACTGCACCAGAGCAATGAAGAGCAGCAAGGAGGCGTAGAAGTAGCCCCGCCAGGTGTACTCCTCTGAGCTGACAAACTGGATGAGAAGTCTGCGAAAGTGCAAAATCATATGTAAGGGAGTGTGCAACTAGAAAAAAGTAAGCATTCAACACCATAAAAACTTGGACTCAAAAACAGAGATCAAATTGGCAGGCCAAGCATTAGGAAATGTTCTTAGGGAAACTCTTGTTCTCATGTCTAATGTAAATATACAGAGAAATCCATTCACCTTTTGGGTTGATTCACTTCCAGAGTGAACTTGGGCAACCTATGCTCAAATTGTCCGTGAATACGTCTGGCAACCAATGCACATGCGAGATGAACATTTAACCCTAATCCTCCTTAAATCCACCAAAAATCCTCATGGCAGTTATGCTGTGTTAAAAATACTTTCAAAGTGAGAGCCAAAGCATCACGTGCTGCTTGTAAGGTGTTTCCCACGTGATACTCACTTCAGCAACTGGGGGCTCAAAAACACCAAACAGTCATAGATAAACTTGAATGCAGCTGCCATCATAAAGGACCAAAAGTAGGTCCGGACGAGAGCCGAGAACAAGCTACGTTTTGGTGTCTTTGACTCATCCAGGTGGGGATTGTATGGAGCAAGAATAGCACTCCCTTCTTTGTAGATAAAGCTGGTCTCCAGTATATCACCGTTTGCTACTGGTGACGGATTTCTAGAGAGAGAAATTTAAAATGTTGAACATACATAAGAGCAAATCTAAGACAAACGGGCAGCTGGACATAAATATCACACAACCAGCAGAACATTAATATGATGCAAAACACACTTCACGGCTTTTCTTTCTTACTTTTCTCCACCCTCTTCGAGTGTGCTGAAACATACATGAAAAAAGTACTGCTGTAGATATTATGCTGCAATTCAATGACAGAAACACTAAAATCAGCTTTACACTTTTACACATACACTATACTGTGTATCTTCTGAACAGATGGAAAGTAGTAATGTAATCCATAATTACAACTAGTAATTCTTTTAACAGTAATTTGTCTGTACTGATGTGATAATGTCTCTTACCATTGTAAATTTAACAAAGTTTCTCTTCGAGGATCAATAAAGTTCAGAAAATGAGAAGCTAAATCAAGCAACTATTTCCACCACCTGCCTATACACCTAATATTCAAAATACCATTAATCTTCACAAAATGATAAAAATCACATGACATTTCCCATAAATATTGTGCTTCTAGACACTGGAAAGACCGCAAGGTGTCTACAAGGCCATTAATTTTAAACAAGAAATACTTACACCTCTTTCGTAAGATTCCATTTCTTATAGAATTTGTGAGCTAAGTATTCCGTCTTGTCTTCATTGTTCAGAGACCAGAGGTCATCTTGAGTCAGAGGTCTCCTGTAGCCCTGGACTATCAAACTGAGGAGAGAATGGCAAACCAGAAATCAATAAAGACACACCCAAACAAATGATATACTTACAGAAACAATAAGAAGAGGGAAAGAAAAGACTTGGGGGGGGGGGGGGGGGGGGGGTTTACACCTGAAGGCTATCTCGCTTATTGGTGGACCAAATTTTACCATATTTCACACATATAATAAGCATAGTAAGGAGTCTTAAAATCCGTAATCAAACTGGAGAAAAAAGTTCGTTTCCATGGATACAGCGGCCATATTGGATATTGTTGACATATCTTACGTAATGAATACCGCACTTATCTTTCATGGAAATTGTTTGTTTTTTTGCATGTTTGTTAGCAAACATTAGGTCTAAAAATGTATTTGTTGATTTTGTCCTAAACGAATTAGACAATTTTTTAAGAATTTTTACCTGAGGTCGTATTCAAGTTTGCTAAAAATCTGTGAAAATCCACACTCCAGACACCACCAACAAAAATCTATTCCATATATAAAAAATTCAAAAAAGACAAATTTTTAATATTACATCTTCTCTTCATTCTGTGAAAATTTCATGAAGATTGGATGAAAAATAGTGGAGTAATTTTAAAAATAGCAGAGAAAAGGCGCGTTTTGAGAAAACGACTCATAAAGAAAAATAAAATATTGACTTTATGAGGAAACAGTGGTGACAAACACACCCGGTATGGGAAGAAATAAGGCTTTTGGGGGTTCTTATGCTATGAAATAGTTGTAGGAGAGGCTGAGGAAGCTAAAAATGCCTACAACTCAAATTCAATAATTTTGAACCAAATCGGGACCCCTCTTAAAACCTGCCAGAAGTGCACACCAAGCGCCCGTCAAAACCAGATCAAAGTAATTATAACAATAAAAAGATGTATAAAGGGCAGATCACATCCAAGCACCCACCAACCACCATATATTCTGCACAAGGCACACTGGTTTACATACTTTCTACTTTGAGGCACATCCTCGCATAAGACAGGTTACAAATGACAAACATATTTAAATAGAAAGCGATCAAATAGGAAATGGTACCGAAAATATGGTAATACTATGAGCAAACATGAGAATACTATGAGGAAACAAATAAGTGCCATATGCTTTCAGAGGACCATATTCTACACAAGACAACAAAAAAAAATACTATTTCAAAAGAAGGCTGTATCAACTCTGCCTCTCAGAGCCAACCCAGGCAAAGTCTGATACAAGATTCTCATCAGACAGATAGAGATACTCAATACGGTAACTTCCTAGACAAGAATTGAACCCAAGCAGTTTGTGGGCAACAACGAAGAGCCTAACCATTAGACCAGCTACCGGCAATCAATTTTCATCCATGAAGAACATAACATATTTACAATTCACTTGGTTTCTTTTAACTGTCAACCTCTTGGAATTTTTAAAAAAGGTCAAAAGCAAAAAACACAATAGCATGTATAAATGATGTTACAGTAGAATTAACACGAGTGTTCCAACAACCTTAGTACATCAAACTGATTCATATCAATCAATCTAATTGGGGAGGGGGCACCAGAAGAACAAAAAACTGACTAAATTTAAGATACAAACATAGAAAAGAGATATAAGACATTGAAAGGGGGCTCTCGTCGCCAAGAGATTAAGGTGTTGGCCTCTCATTCAAAGGTCCCGGGTTCAAATCTGGGTAGCGAACGGAAAATTTTCTTCTCTAAAATTGTCTCCTTTCACCTCCTTTCCTGCTCTTTACAGACCTGCCACTCTATGAAACCTCAAAATCAGGATCTCATGGAGAAAAAATCGGGATTTGGTGAAAAAAATCGGGATCAACAGCAAATCTGCCAAAGCTGACTTAAAATTTTTCCAGGGGTGTCCATAAATTCCTTGGCCTATATGCCCTCTGTGTGTCTTTTTTTTTGCGCGCGCGCGCGCGCGTGTGTGTGTGTGTGTGTGTGTGTGTGTGTGTGTGTGTGTGCGTGCGCGTGAGTAATCATTATTTTTTGTAAATCCTGAAGCATCGCGTCAAGAACTCCTAGTCCAAGTGTCTATAACCCCCCCTCACCCTCACCTTTACCAATAAGTCCCGAAATACCTGAACTTAAGTTGACCCCGTCAACGGACGGTCCCCGACACGCAGAACTCACACGGCGATGATATGTCACGTGACGCGACTGTGCGATTGAAACAATACTAACGGGTCCGACCGACTAACTGGTTCTGGTTACTGCACGTTCACACAAAACACTCGGATGAGCGACAGTCGTTCTACTTCAAGGATAACGACGGCGGCCGACCGACCAAATGTACCAACAAATCTCTTATCCCTCATGTGTATGTTAGTCTTGTCAGCGCAGTTACATGTAGTTGTGTAAGGGTTAGAAAGACAGTCGCTTGTCCGAGTGTTTGGTGTGAACGCGCAGTTACCAGACCTCGGACAATGCTTGTTTAGAAAAGTAAGAGCGGAACTACGAATATAATCGATTATTAAATAACGCCCAAATAGAAACAGTTACCAGGCTATCATCGGAGAATTCTGAGTGCGGGAAAAGATCATAAAGGAGAAGGCAGAGGAAGTTTTAAGAAAAATCCGACACAACAGCAGACTGGGACAAAAAATCGGGATACACGCGATCGAAATCGGGAAAATCGGGAGGATTGAGATTTGGGGCAAAAAATCGGGATATCCCGACTAAATCGGGATGAGTGGCAGGTCTGTCTTTAGCAATATTCTGCCGTCTGCTTTCGTCTCCTCTTTCTGCTCCCACCCCCTCACCTCCTTTGCCCCCTCCTCGGGGCTCCTGACTCTTTCTGCAGCCTTTCTACTGCTACTCCATGACTCCTTCTTACAGCTGTCTTTCTGCCACATCCCTGATCTTCTGGTAGGAAAGATCTACACCTAGCCTTCTCGGACAAGGGCGAAAAATCTTGCAGGGCCCGTGTGCAAGTTGTGCACGTAAAAGATCCCTTGCTGGTCTAAAATCAATAAGAGTAGGCTTCGGCTGCCACGCGGGCAAAATTCAAAATTTCCTACCAACTAAAAGTATTAGGTGTGTCCCGCGCACTCATATGACCTTATGCAGTTGCGAGCGCCGTAAAACACTTCGCAAAAAAAAAAAAAAAAACCCATTGAAACCATTATCAGCTTTTCATCATACCTGGTGAACCACCAGAAAGTAATCTGCGACAAGAAAGATGAATTCTTCTCTGGACTCGGATTCTGAAAATAAAAAAGAATATATACATAAGAAAAGAAATTCAAAAGAAAATGGCATTTGCTTTTCTGTGCCAACACTCTTCTAACAATCCATTTTCCCTTTTCTTTTCTCACAGTATATGCTTTGCAACAGCAAAATAAAAAAACCTGGTTTAAACACAAATATAAAAGTCTCCTGTTGACCAGGTAAGTCTCTTGTTGACTATTAAAAAGTCCCTTAATGACCTGCAAAAAGTCTGTAGTTGAGCAATTAAGTTTCGATTCAAAATGCAAAAAGTCTCTAGATGACAAATTCAAGTCTCTAGTCAACGTGCAAAGTCTCAGGTTGACCAAAACGTTTCCGGTTGACCAATTAGGAGCTAGCTTGACCAAATAAGTCTCTAGTTGACCAATAAAATCTCTGCAATAGACCACAAAAGTCTCCAAACTCGGGCATTATGTTTTTGTTTGTAAGATTTTTAACACAGCACTCATCTATAAATCAAATGCTCATAAAGCAAGGGACTAAAATGTCAGCTCTGGTAGAAATGTTCATAAACAGAATAGATAAAGAAAAGGAAAATGACAAACTGGGAAGGAAGAGGTCAAATCTGCATAATGGAGAAACATGTAGTGAAAACTGTAACAGCAAAAGACTGTTATGGATCACGCCTGTCTCGTTTCTCAGGACTTTTATAGAAAGGTTCAAACATATTTGAAATTGCATACTTATAACACATGTCAAATTAATCTCTAGCTTCACATTACAGCAAAGTAATTTTTTCTGTTATCATGGTCTCATGTAGCCTTTCAGTTAGGCAACTGAATCCCAAAATGTGCCTTCTTGAAACTAGGTTGTGAGAGGAATTGTCAAGACTCTCACTTCAATGAGCTCTGTCCTAGTGGAGATGGATGATAATTTTAAGGTCCAGCCTCTTTATTGCCTAGCAGCATTTAAAGAGGTGTTAATGCCATTCTTCTCGGAAAGCCCAATCTCTATGAAACTCAAAAGAACAAAAAAGGAACTTTTTTTTTCAAGCATCACATTAAGTGATTTGCATTTGCACTATGTCTACAGCAAAGTGCAGTTCACTCAGTCCATTTCAACAATTTTTTTAAAAACAAAAGGAAAAGGAAGCCAGAACATCAGTATGCTCCTGACATTGGCCATTTCAGAGAACAGCATACACTTACTTGGTCTTCACTTCCGTCTCCAACTTGAGGAGGATCATCTACAAACAAGTTCAGTATGAATGCAAACAACAAGCACGGATAGTGAATGAAAATGGAAGGAGGAACATCATCCTGTGAAAGAGAAACCAGATTAAATCCTCAGTTAATCCCTTCCCAATAAATAAAGAGCCAGTTAGAAAAAAACTATTTTAAAAAACTGCCTGAAAAATGAAGGCCATATATTCTAGTGTCCACTATTCCCAATCACAAATTATTGTAAATATTCTATACCCCCACTGACATAACTTAAAATGTTTTCGGAGGCAGGATCCTTCAACTATGTCAATCAGGGCCAACCCAGGCTGAATGGGATACAACATTCCAGGAGATAGACAGAAAAACTCTATTAATTAGCTTCCCTGCGCAGGAATCAAAGCCACCACTTCTGTGCCCAACAGAGAAGAGCCATCACCTCTTTAAGGTCTTAAATTGGCAATTAACTGTTAGCTTTGATGAAGAAGAGGTTAATCTCAGCGCCAAGTCAGACTTCATCTACCTATGGCCCTGGATTAAGCTAATTGTAGTGAGCAATCAGGAAGAATAATTCATACAATTACAAGAGAGTATAAAAAAGCATATTTTTTAACCTTTATTACCATTTCCCCTGAACCCATAAACTGCAAAATCTGTTCTCCTTGGTTAAATTTTGTCCCTTCCCCCCCCCCCCCCCCCCCCCCCACCTCCTTTAAATAAACCCTTAAAGCGAAATAATATCGTTTAAATACACATCCAGAACACATTGCAGGGCCATCCTTTCAGTTACTTTCACAGTAAAATTATTATTACAATCATAATAATAATACAATTAAAGACATTGAAGGATTCCGAACCTCTCTAGATGCTTGTCGAATGACACTAATGAGTCGCAGGAAGCCACAGAACAAGAACAACAGCCAGAACAAGACCAAGACACCTGAGCTTCGTACACCTTTCTTGCGCTCAATTCCCAAAATGAACAGAGCCAGCATCTGTAAAGTACACGACACAACATTGTATGAGCTTAATTCTGCACAAGCTTACACAAGAAAATGACATAAATTTCAATCTAAATAGTTCCTTCAAACAAGTAGCGTTTACCTGGTTATTCCCAATGTGTTGCAATGTTCACACAACAGGAACATGTTACAGCAACACGTTAACTTTTTTAAACATATCTGTAAGAGTTTGTGCATGTATTAGTTAGTGAGTGCATGTATGTGTATATACAGTTGTACATACTTACATAGATAAACACCCACAGAAGAAAAAGAAGACCTCTAGAGTCAAAATCATAACTTATTACTTTACCAATGTTACTGCACAAAAGACAATAATAACCTGCAACACACCTTCAATTTCAATTATTTTGATTTGACACTCATTTCAGCACTTCAAGACACAATAAACTACAATAATAGATCATTTGAAAATAGGGTCACAATATACGACGGTTTAGTCCACCCAGTCTTCCACTGCCTATTCTTGGCTATTTCACTACTGGTATATCCAGTCTTTACAAACTAGTAGAAAGTTCATCACTCACCATGGTAAACATGACTATGAGAGGAGAGACGATGTCAATGATAGCAATGTCATCCCCTTGGCCTTTCTCAATGCCTGCAAATATGCACTCAAAGGCAGCAAAGGCGATAAGTACACAAGTCACCACCTACATACACGAGGAAGAAAAAGAAAAAAAATTTTTACTTGATGGATTGTAAACACACTTACAGCACTAAAACAGGGGTCACCAAACTTTTTTTTTCAAAATAGGCCGGACAACTGAGAGAATGATGACCATGAAGTGCTTTGCGAGAAAAAATCAAACAAACATAAATCACAGAAGAAAAGGAAAATCAAATGTGTCACAGCACAGTGGAATCAGGCCCTCGTCAATTTTGAGGCCTAAAGAGTTATTGGAATCATCTTAAAGCTTGTTCATTTGCTTTGCTTTTTTAAAAATAATATCCATTTATCTTAGATACAGGTCAAGATATTGGCTATTGAAGGAGGTGGGGTCACCTGGTTTAAGAGGTAAAATTAGCAAAAAAAATAGCCAACAAAGCTGATATATTTCCTTAGCTTGAGAGTCCGTGGAAACTGAAAAATTATGTCTTTTATGCCTTTAATCAACGTTTTTAGTCAATTCCAAACAGAAATGTGTTCTTTACTGGGCATGAAGAGTGTTGAGCCAAAAAACAAAAATTCGATAAAAATTCCCAAACCTGCGGAAAAAGGCCAGTTTCTTGACTTTCAATATTTTGACGAGCACCTGATTTCACCGCGCTGCCTCACAAAAAAATACACAACAGAATCTATTAAACAACCAACCCGACCAAACGTAAGGACAAAAAAAAAGGAAGCAGAACTTAATTGCTCTTTCGGAACTAAATGACTTTTTGGGAACAAAATAGTGTCAACTTTTCTTCCAAAAGGCTAAGAGAGCTCAAAACTTGTTATTGTAAAATAAAGCAAAAGAGAAAGGAAGTCTTAATACATTTTTTTTTAAGCAAGCCAACTAGCAATTTCTTTTCCCCATTCTTTTTTTTTCTGCTGCAGCCTCCATGAATAAAAATGACTGGATGAAAAAGATCTTACCACTTTGAGTATGTTGCACCAATTCCAGCCAATTTTTTGGTTGCGCTTTCGAAACAGCAGATACAACCGAATTGGTGCCATGAGAAAAAGGAAAGCACATGGTATTAGGGCCAAGATAGACTTTTGAAAGCAGGGTGTGAAGTCTGGGGTGGTTGTGTCCCAAGTCACGTTGGTATCCTGAGAAGAGAGAAAAATATCATATGATTTTTCCAAGTTGACGATGGCTAAGGGATAATTATACAGCATTTGAGAGGTTAAGAAATAATATGGAAGAGGGTAAGGGTTGAGGGTATCACTTGATGTAACATCAATCAAGACCACATACTTCCGCTACAATCCAAGCCAACATACTGCTGATTGGAGTGAAGTGCCACTCCGTTGGGTATCCCTGGTACTACATCAGGGGCAAGGAAAAGTGGTGTAATGCTGATTAAAGCTGTGCTCACTTGACTTTACTGTTTAACATTCACCGTTTTTACCCTATTCAAACCGTAGAAGAGCCATTTCAATGTGCATGATTTTTACAGATAATGAATTGTCGTATCTATTTTTCCTCAACCCTCCGTAAAATTTAGAGCATATCATACCAAATCCTTGAAGTAAATACAGTAATGCTTTGTACTTGATGATTACCAGACAGAGTAATCAGTGGCACCAACAAGACTAATAAAACATGCCTCCAAAAAGTATTCTTTCCTATTCAATATTCACTAGTCACACCATTACCATGAATAGCTCAAGTGCCCATGACTCTCAAATATCAAAGCACAGAGGATGACTTTGCAAGAAAACAACAGTACAGTTGGCAGGTGCAATGAGCTCACCTTCCATTTTTCAAAAGTGTGAACCATTATGAATGGTGATGTGACAACTACTTTGTATCATGGCTTATAATGTAATCCACCGTTGTTTTGGGGTGGCAGCTTTTGTTGAGTGGGGGGGGGGGGTGTGTGTCCTTTTTGGATTTTTGATTTTGTTGGTGGGTTTTTGTTTTTCGATCAATGGTGTTGTTCAACCACCCACCAGACCACGCCCCGGAGGGGGGGAGGGGGTTGGGTTTTGTTGGGGTGTTTTGTTTTGTTGAGGTTTGGGGTTCTTTCTTTTTTTTTGGTTGTTTGGATGTCATTTCCGATTTTGAGCGTTCTGCTGAAACCAGTACACATGCAGACATGAACATGATTACAACTGTGAATTACACGTTTGAAAGTGAAGCCCAGCACATGACAGAAAACATTTCCAAGTCATCATCACAACAGCAACTCTCTCTCTCACCTGTCAACCTTGACAGTCAGAGCTATAAGGGCTGTCCCAGAAATAGCAGCAAAATGGCCATATTTAACAATAACTACACAGAACATATACAGCTCAACTTTAATTTGAACAGAATAAGACCAGAACTTCCCCCATGTGTCCTTTGTGTGACTATGCATATGAGACAGCAGTGGCGGTGGCTAGTGAAGGGCTTACGGGCTTGAGCCCCTCACCCCCACCCCGTCCCCACCCCTACTCTATCCCTTAGTTCATGAAAGTTTCTTAAATAACGAAATAAGCAGTTGAAACCGTCATGATCGCACGCAATGAACACACAGTTATCAGCTTGGCGGCTTGCCCGTTTATCCAATCACTGCTTACAAATATAGTAACCTAACAGCCAATCAAATGTCGTTAGGGCTCAGAAAGAATAAGCCGGTTCCCACGCCCGTCTTTAATGAAACTCTTCTTGTTAAAAGGTAGAAGACTTTTTTTTAAATAACACTGCACAGCGGGCTCACGCTCTCCCAGCCCTGACAATTGGGTGAAAGTTTACGACACACTTTCCCCTAGTGACACAGATACCTATGCGCCCATTGGGCCTTTGTTAGGCGCGTTCTATTTTCCGCAACAACACGACCCAATCCACCTCATAGACGGTATGTGTTTGGAGTGCTGTGTGTTTGGAGTGCTGTGTGTTTGTGCCGCTGAGATTTAACAGTTATTAGTTACATCAAACCACTTTGGAGGCAACTTTTTCTTCAGATAAAAACTAATTAGAGAAATTTGGAGGTGAGACGGCTTCGTCCCTACCATCCAGAAGCTTAACTTTAACTAAGAACAAAGAGATGGAAGACAAAGGTGACTCTTCTCGTTTGAATGGTTCTCAAAATGCCGTGGCTCGCAGTGAGTATAGCAAAATCATCACTGTTTTGTTCTTATTGCTTGCTTTTTGGTGATAAAGAAGTGGAAGAAACCTAAGCCCCACCCAAATTTTGGTCCACCCACCGCCACTGTGAGACAGTGGAACATCACCTTTTCCACTGCACAGCCCTAAATGACATCAGAGCTACACTTTTCCCTCCGAAACCTAACTTTGACAACACACTCTACGGAACATTACAGCAACTGCAGAAAACCTGCACTTATCACTACATGGCATTGGACAGAAGGGCGAGAGCTCAGATGTTGCTGGATCGATAACAACAAAAATAACTACAGTTCAGGGAATACTCGATTTGGGTGCACCATTTAAGGCATGATGCTTTAGTGCAGTGGGATGGCGAAATGTGTCAGCTGGTGGGTTCCCAAACAGCTGACAGATGACCACACAGCACATCAATGTCTGTAAAGCACTACTGGAAGGATGCCGGCAAACAGCACCTAACAAAATGGGAACTGGGCCTGCTATTGACTTCCAAGAACCTAATGAACGCTTTTTGGATCACAGTCCTAGTCTTGACCCTTCAGACTTCCATCTGTTTAGACCAATGCAGCGATATCTAGCCAGGGAGAAATTACTGATGACGCAAACCTTGGGGAACAAGTCAGCAATTGGCTTCAGTCGCTTGAAGTAAAATTCTACAGGGATAACATCCATTTACAAGAACTACTTGTGCAGATTCAAAATTTCTCATGGTAAACGATATGATATATTCGTAATCAGTTTAACACTGCTTTTGCTGAGATCTATTGAGCTGATGGCCGATGTTAAATAATAGAATCATTTATGCAAACTATGTAACTAAAATTAGAACAAATTCGGGACTCAACTGTCTCTATAAAATAACAAAATTAAGGCGCAGAAAAACAACCTTCTCACGAAGAATAAATCTCTAAACATTGAGCTTTCAGTAGGTCAGAGTAATGGTTTGCTGTGTGGAGGGGAGTGAAAGTTATCGATTCTAAAGTTGACAAAAAAAAGAGAACTTCTTCACCAACACCGGCAAAGTCGCTTTGGGGGGCTCTCGTGGCCTAGAGGCATAGGAGTTCACCTTTCATTCAAAGGTCCCAGGTTCGAATCCGGGTTGCGGTGGAAAAATTTTCTTCCTTAAAAATCGTCTCATTTCACCTCCTTTCCTCCTCTCGAGCAATGTTCTGTTATCTTCTTTCGCCTCCACTTTCTACCCCAACCACCTCACCCCCATTGCCCCCTCCTTTTGGCTCCTGGCTCTTTCTGCAGCCTTCTACTGCCACTCCTTGGCTCCTTCTTACTACTGTCTTTCAGCCACACCTCTGATCTTCTGGAAGGAAAGATCTACACCTAGTCTTCTCGGACAACGGCGAAAAATCTCGGAGGTCCCGTGTGCAAGTTGCGCACGTTAAAGATCCCTTGGTGGTCTAAAATCGATAAAAGTAGGCTTCGGCTGCCACCTGGGCAAAATTCAAAATTTCCTACCAACTGAAAAATGTTTAATGTGTCCCACGCGCTCATATGACCTAAAGCAGTTGCGAGCACCGTGAAACATTTACCAAAAAACAGAAAGTCGCTTCAGTGCTTATCAACCCCGATGACCCTAAGAAAGGGTGCTCCACGGTTGACTGCCGAGTCACGTCTGTCAACTAAAAGGCACAGAATCGGGTAAATAAAAAAAGGAGAGAGACGTCTGATGCCAGATCGAGGTCCCTCTGGAAAATTCGCATCAACACCAAGTCCAAGGTGCATTCAGCTTTCTCCCTCCCTCTCCTGCACACATGATATGACACATCATTTAAAAACCGTGTAAAACCAACACAATCAACTTAGGCTTCCTGTGGGTCAACTAGGTGCGATTCGCCAAGATGGATCTTGTTTTGCTTCATTTGCTTTTTTTTTTCTCTTTCTCGTCCCTCGACCCTTTACTTTAACATTTTGTCAATCAATGGACCATTGTTATAATAATATAATAATAATAATATATAACATTTATATAGAGCGCATTTCCAAAAAAGTAGCTCAATGCGCTTTACATTGGAATACTCATTTTTCAAAAACCTTTCTCCTACTTCCTTTCTTCTCATGCAATATACATTAATGCACGCGTACACACACACACACACACACACATACACACACACACACAGACTATTTTCATCCAGACAAAACAACTATAATGAAAAATAACGTTAAAAGCTTAAGGATAGGCCTGTAACCAAACATGCCTCCGAAAGCGTGTTATAAAAGAACTTTTTTTTCTTACTGTACAAGTTATAAGAAATCAGACTCGGGGAATTTATTATAAAAGCCTGCTTTAGTCGAAATCCTGTTATTAGCAAGATTGTTATAACTTTTTTTAGTGGGGCTCAAAGTACTCGTGTAGTGATAGGAGGAAATAATATGTGATTGCTCATGGGGGATGCGTTGAAAAATAAAAGGAAAGTTTGGCAAACTGGCCGTTTTAGTTGTATCTCAATCATGACAAAACTTTTTATTTTGTAGCAATTTTCTTGTTATTTATTTCTGGATCAGCCCTCGTTGCAGCACAGGCCTTGTTTCCGTGTATGGCTGACATACATCCTCAGCCATACTGGGACTTTCTTCAACTTCAACCTCTCTATTTTTTTCTTAAATTATGTAAAGGTCTATGAGTTTTACGCCCCCGTCGACACAATTTAGATCACTGAAAACACGGGCTTCGACCCTGTCTTTCAGAACCGACCCGGGCTGAAAGAGAGATGCACAACAGAAAGAATGAAACACAGTCGCACCTGCCCGAACGGCCACTTGTACATGTATAAGACAGTTATATGTACAAACAGCCTTTTCCTCCTTGCGGTTGTTTGTTTGTTTTAACATTATATTATACTGATACTGTACGAGAATCACGAGGCGTAGGCAGCCAGTTTTCTCCTCAACAGTGGATGGCCGTCTTAACGTGACAATCCATATGTACGGCAGCGGCAGCGGCAGCGGCAGCGGCACGGCAGCGGCAGGCAGCGGGACGATA